TTACAACATAGATAGACATACAGTACAGGCAACGCGGATCCCGTATTTCCCGCGTCCCCGCCGCGGTATAATCACAATGCGGTATTTGGCCAGGTAGACAGGTAAACCGCGTTCCCTCGGCGGGAAATTCATCACTTACCTGTCCCCGCCGCGGTTAAATCATCGATCAATTACTGACAATTAGTATCGTAAACAAACGGGAGTTATCTCCCCGAATTGTAATTTGCGAATTTTCCCTGTAACAAAAAAAAACCATGTGTTTATTAATTAATTTTGCTATGAATAGAATTTAAACTAAGAAAAAATAAGTTTATTTTTGTTTCTAAAATTACATATCAATATTTGAAATTGAATAGAAAATTTTATTAAATTGTTACGTCTTTGCAATGGTTAATTATTTTGTGTTATTAAGAATCTATCAAGAAACAAAATTAAATACTAGAAATTTTAATTAGTTTTTTTTTTTTTAAATCTTCATATTATATGCAAACTGTTATAAATGTTGAACTCAGACTGTTTAAGTTTCGATAAACGATTTTCAGCATTCATTTGGAAAAAAAAAAAAAGATGTACATCTTTTAAAAAATGTACATCTTCATATTGTTTATTAATTAATTTCGATTTATTGTATATGAAATGTACAGGCTTTTTCTTAAAGTGTCAAATTACCGGAAAACATGCGATGACGAGCATTTGCAGTTACATGTAGTGGGCACGTGAACTTAAATTTTCTTTATCCAAGATATGAAGAAAAAAATTCTTTTCTTCTTTATTTCTCGTCGTTTATGTTCTGTTCCCAAATTAAAAAACTTTTCTTTAATTTATTTCCCTCTTTTATATAAATGTGCAGGCATTTTTCTCAAATTGTCAAATGACCGAAAAGCATTCGATGGCGAGAGTTAACTTTGAGCACGTGAACTTTATACAGGAGATCAAGAAAAAATATCGTTTTTCACCTTCATTAACATGTATTACTTTTTAAAACGATGTCTTTCTTTTTAATTTTAATATTTCTCGATTTTCGTGTTCAATAGATAAGATAGGATGTGCAGGTGTAATGATAAACTTCACAGACGAAATTATAGTTTATATTAATAAATATTCAATGCAAAAATTCATATATTTTTGTTTTCTTTGACAAATTCTGTTTCTTTGTGTATTAAGTATTAGCCGCGATCATTTCCTGTGTATAGGGATTAGCAGTGCCTGAGCAGGAAACGACATGCCCTGGGGGTTTCACACCTGTCTTAGAGTATACCTTGGGTAACGCTCGCTGGATGTGCACATCGTTGTCTAGCCATTCAACAACACATTTGATTCATTGTTTCATTATTATTTCATCGATATCATTTTCAGATGCGATATTAGCCTTGGAACTTGTGTCAAATTATTGTTGCTTTTTTTAAACGGAGTGTATAAAAAGAATAAAAGTAAAAAAAAACAACTTTTAAAACAAATTAATGAAGTATTTGATATTAATTAAATCAAATAATGATCCATTGCTATGTTATTTCGTGTCTGTTTATATCTGTACCAGTTAGTAGAGAGAGAGAGAGAGAGAGAAGAAAAATATCACAATATTAAGGCACGTGCATGATCGTTTTTCCTCCTTTTTGATCAGTATCAATTTCTTAAGTCTAGCGAATAAAACTACCTCTGATTTATCAGTTTATTGACCATTTGTGGATTTTGTCTTAGTTTTATTGTTATTTATCGAGAGACTTGTTTATGATCCACTTTCTTCTTTCGTTTAGCATATGTACATGACATGTAATTTGAATTACTTCCCTTCTTGTCGCCAGATTACGACGACAGATTCTGGTGGTAAAAAAAGAAGTATTTTTGTTATAAAATTTGAGTAAGAAAAACACAGTATATTAAAATTGTCGAATTATTGAAAATATTTATTTGAAACAAAAAAATTAAAAAGGATTCTGTCTGCAACAAAAACATTGAATTCTTTATTTCATGCATTTCAATCCATGAGCTACACATGAAAAAAAAAACGGCTTCGTTTTACAATGTCGTAGGAAAACGCATACAGGTAATACACTCAGGTAACATCCTGTGTATATAGGTAGTATGTACACTAGACAGCGTCGTTCCCTCGGGGCTTCTCATCCGCTTCGAGGAAGCTCCACTCCACACCAAACTTACCTGAGGAAAACCGAACGGTAACACAGACATCTGAAAACTTGAAGCTTGGCAACTTGCTGATTAAAATAAGTTAATTTCTGTGTTGTGTGTTCAAATATTTTAAGGGCCCATATTTGTGTTTGTGTTTTATTTGAACCGGAGAAATCTGAAATTTGTTAATATGTTCATTGACATGATTTTAGTATTTTTCGAAAAGAGCAGAAAATAGAAATACATTCAAATACTAGCTATGATATTATTGATATTCTGAATAAAATGACCTGTGATTATTTTATTAACAATAACCCCCCCCCCCACCAAAAAAAAAACCAAATAAAAATCGTCGATATTTAGTTCATAGTCTTACAGTGTAGCGCATAATAATGGAACAACGGTATTCCTACACTTACGCGTGTTTTGTTAAAATTTAATTGTAATTTATCACTATCTAATCATCGTTTTTCATGTTATTATTTATAACAGATATGTATACAGAAGTAACGGTAGTTATCTAAATGAAACCAAATGACTGATATAATCTCACAGATAAATAAACACATAGCTATATGTAACTGCAACTGCACGGGCTAATTGTGAACACCGCATTACACCAGTGCATATAAAGGGAAGCGATTTCATGGCATTCTTTAAATTTTAATTATACCTTTTTAGCAATTTGAAGATCATTTGGGGTGGATTTATTGATTTTGAAAATAAACTTTAAGTTAATATATTCTATAAATTATTCGACTTTATTTCATCCTATACTGTACATGTATTACTGTTAACAGGCGTGTTTGAGAATTAATTAATTTTGAGTGACTATTGGTACAAAAAAAAAAAAGAAAAAAAAAGATGTTTTTTATTAAACAATTTGATGAAACTTAAAAAATGAATCTTTAAAGAATCCATGTAATGGTAGAAATCTATAATATCAATGTGCTCGTAACCCCCCCCCCCCCCCTCCCCTCATCTCGACACGATTAAAAATCGACAAAACTTTACAGGTAAGAACATCTTAGCTGAAGAATAACGGCAGCTGGCCCCGCCGCGGTGTAAACACGGTCTCTGGTAGCAACGCGATCAAAACCCGCGACGGTGTAACGCGGAAAGGATTAATACACCGCGGAGGGGACGCGGTCTAATACGGGATCCGCGTTGCCTGTACTGTAAAGGACTCCTGCAGGATGGCATGGTCACCATTCACATGCATGCAAGTGCGTGCACGTGTGCTTTGCTCTGATTGGCTGAAACAAAAATCTCAATATCTTTTCTGTTTTTTTACAAAATGCTTTGAAATTCAAAACATAAGCATACTTTAAGATGTCCTACAATATGATATATAATAATTGTCGTGAAAATACGCGCATGCACGTGCGCTGCAATCTGATTGGCTTAAACTTTAAATGGCTATAACTCCCTTGTTTTTCAACCAAACAGGATGGAATTAAGAACATAGACAGACATAATGGACTCCTACAAGAAGGTATGGTCTTCATGCACGTGCGTACACGTGCAAATGAGTAAGATAGTGTAGACAAGATGATATCGTCATTACGCTCATGCAATCACATGCGCACGCCTGCATTGCTTAAATTCTAAATACTTGGTATACTTTTGGGAAAACGTTGTTTACGCTTTAAATGCATAATTGCCTTCTTTAATGAAACTTACAGGAAAAATGGCAAAAAAAGGGAGTTGGGGAGCGTTTGGGGAACATCTGTAACGGTTCCCGTTACAATTAGCACTAGTTATTATTATTTTTCTTCTTCTTCCTGGAACTTTTTTGTCCGGGAATGATCTTGTAAACTGTTCGTCCGATGTAGGTAAAACCTTTTTAGGGTTAGTAGACATGTTATGTAGATTTGCGGAATCAAGGTCATTTTGCGCACACGTGCTTGCAAGAGCGTGCACGTGCAATACGTGAAATGACCAATATAATAGATATAGCCACAACTGTTCTATTTTTAAATGAAATGCTTTGAAACTCATAATGTGAGGATATATTAGTAGTATAGACATGACGACATGGTGAAAATAGCAAGATCTCACGCGCATGCACGTGCACTTCGCTCTGATTGGCTGCAACTAAAGTCTCAATATCTTTCTTGTTTTTTGACGAAATCCTTTGAAATTTTGAACATAGCCATGCATCAGGATATCCTACAACATGAAATAAAGCAATTATCATGAAAACACGTGCATGCACGTGCGCTGCAATCTGATTGGCTGAAACTTTAAACAGCTATAACTCCCTTGGTTTTCAACCAAACAGGATGGGATTTGGAACATAGAAAGATATAATGGACTTCTACAAGTAGGTATGGTCACCATGCACATGCATACACGTGCGTGTACATGTGCTGCAATCTGATTGGCTGAAACTTTAAACAGCTATAACTCCCTTGGTTTTCAACCAAACAGGATGGGATTTGGAACATAGATAGATGTAATGGACTTCTACAAGAAGGTATGGTCACCATGCTCATGTATGCACGTGCGTGCACGTGAAATGAGAAAAATCAAACATACACTTGAATGAGCGAATTTTTCTTTTATACTTTTGGATTAAATACTTTGATATTTAGCATATTAAAATATATAGATCGTGTAGACAATATGATATGGTCATGACGCATATGCATTCACATGTGCACGCGTGCAATGCTAAAGTTTAAATGATTTTTGTACACTTCTTTGTAAATGTTGTTAAAATCTCAGATGCATAGAGGTTGTCTTATTTAATGAAGCTTACAGGGAATATGGCACCAAAAGGGAGTTGGGGAGCGTTTGGGGAACATCTGTAACGGTCCCCGTTACAATTAGCACTAGTTTTGTTTTGTTTTGCTTTTTTTTTTGTTTAGTTCAGAATCCAAAAGCATGTAAAGACCTGTCCGCGTACATCCGAGTTTGTTTAGAAGTGGCCGAAATCAAGATTGAGTCAACTGACATCAGTGGGTGCCTGAAATTGACATTATTTATGCTACAGAAAATCAACTTTCGTCTTGGTTGCTTCAGGATGCCCTATTTTGCTGAAAAGAAGCTTCTGTTTTGGGGAAACAATTGGAATTAAAAACGAAGAATAAGAACCATTTAATGATCAACGTATATTTAATATGATTTTTACCACCTGCCTTGTTCAGTTTGCAAAAGAAATATGATATATCAGATAAACTTAAATGATTGTATCATAAAATATTTTTTGATAATAGCATGATAGCATCGTACGTGTAAAAAAAAAAGTGTAGTGTCGGGTCATTTTAAGCCAGTCTGTCGGGAGAGGACAACTTTTTGAAGATGGAATAAATGCAGATTTTTTTTTTTTTTTTTTTTTTTTTTTTTTTTTTTTTTTGGAATACAAGAAATATTGCTGCAAGATTGACAAGGGAAGAGTAAGAATGATATTAGTAATATCATATTACTCTAGATCTTTACAAACCTATCTGCATGGTTGTGGCATGTATATGTACATAATCAAGTCTGATTTCACTTCTTCATTCACTTTCTTCCCCTGTCTCCCGACTTTCTGTCTGTCCGTTCGTCACACTTTCAATTTCATGGATTCTTTTTTAGAGACCGCGTCTAATTACTTTACCTTAGGGATTTTAATAAATTTATTTTCGTTAAATGGTTTCTACTGTTATATTTATTGTTTTAATACTAAAAAATCGAATGTTAACCACCCCAATTTCTTTGGGGACCATCTCAAAAGTTGTCAAATTTTACTATAGGACCTTATTGGCACATTTTTTCCAATATTTTTTGTATTTCTGCCCTAGAGATTTCTTATTCAGTCAAGTAGATGAAAGTTATTGTAAAAAGTCACCAAATAGTGAAATTTCAAAAAAAAAATTGACCATTTAGGTTGGTTTCGGTCCTAATTACAAAGTTTATTTTTTCGATGCCCAATACCTCTAAAATGCCATATTGCAGTATAAATATATATCGGTGCAGATTAAATTTCGGCACAGATAATTGTTTTGGTGAAAAATACATGTAGCAATATTGAGATTGCTAGTATGTTTCTTTAGATGTTCTGTCATCAGTTTGTAGTATAATATCCATGGACGTCTACAAACATATAAGCGATTCATGTGTCATTCTTCAGCGTCTTGCATTGCTTACAAAATCGAAAAAGTGAGATCGTTTCAGCGTTTTTTCTTAATTATTGTCGTAAAATAACATTTTCAGACCAGTAGGTATTACAGATAATGTTAATTTTAACTTTTTTTTCAAGATAAATGGAACACATTAACTTACATGTTCATACCTTAGACCTGTTCAACAGAGCAAACACTCGGGAAAATTTCTATTGAAGGTATAAGAAATTTTGGCGAGTGTTCGCGTACGTTCGCTCTGTTGAACAGGCCTCTACCAATGGCCATCTGCAGTCATATTCTATTTCAAGACACTCTGAACCTAACGACAAGTTCTCCCAGGTTGGGTTTCTCATGAACAATAGCTGTATATAACATGATTTCTTAGTATCTGAAAGAATTGGTACTACATACTGTGCCCCGTCTTTGCAAACTATTTTGTTTGATCATAAGATGACAGAATAATCGAAACAGAATGATGCGAAGCAAAATAGTTCTGTGGATGCTAATCTATAAGGAAAGGGTAATATTTTATTTTTAATTGAAAAATATTATAAGGATACATTAAATATCATATAGACTAGACATTATTTACAGTTTTGATTGCAACCGTTGCTTTGTGCAAAACTATATTTGCTGTGTGATTTTTTAAGCTGCCGAACTGCTCATTATCTGTAAAACTAGTGGAATTAGTTAATGACTTCTAAAACTCACTGATTTTAAATTCAATTAATAAATTAAAATAGACATACAATAGAAATTTTATAAGTGTTGGCTTCATTACAAAATCCGTTTTAATTTACAAAATGTCACATTGTTAGTGGTTCTTCTACGGCCGTCAAACCCATATGTAAATGTGTATAAAAAGAATTTAACAAATAACATTTTTGCCCCTTCTTCTTCTTATGGAGTTAAATGTGAATCATACATGAAAAATTCGTCATCTTGTTTTCATAAAATTACATGTAAATAAAGTGTAAACACTTGAACTTTAGATTATGCGGTAATTTGACAATCATAAAGTGGATAATCGATAGGTCCTTTAAGAGTAGTGTTTACTCCTCTGCGTTTGTTAATTTTGTTGGTTAAATTCTTGCACATTTGGTCAAACTCCAAGATCAAGAGGTCAAATGTATTGGTACCGAAAGAAAGTCTATGTTACAAGGAATACACTTAAAATATGGGAGTCATACATGTAGCTTCAACCAATCAAAAATTATGGGCAATGTTTAAGTTTTACGGACAAACAGAAAGCCGGGCGTAATGACAAAATTTTTACCCCTCAAATCTTCAATTACGGGGGCATAAAAATGCATATTCAAATTTTGAATCCCTAAAGTAATTCTAAAGAAACTCTTTGCTATGTGTATGGCAACTTTTTATGCCTGGATAATGGAAGATTCGGGGAAATTTTTTATATTTTGGTCTTGTCCGTCCGCCTGTCTGTTTGTTCGCAAAAACTTTAACCTTGCCTATTACTTTTAAGTGGGTGGGGCTATGGTTTTCACATTTAATAGGTGTGACAAGACCTTTCTGTGGGTACCATCAAATTTGAGCTCTTGACCTTGGTGTTTGACCCACTTTTACCCAAATTTAACAAACTTAATCTTTGCCATAACTTTTGAACAGTTGGTGTTAGTGCTTTCATATTTGACATGTGTATTCACTGTGACAAGACCTTTCCATGGATATAAATATTTTTGACCTTTTGACCTCGGCCTTAGAGTTAGAACCACTTAAAAACTTTAACCTTAGCCATAACCTTTTGAACAGTTAGTACTATGCCTTTCATATTTCACAGGATTATTCTTTATGACAAGACCTTGCCTTTGAAACCAAAAATTTTGACTTTTTTACCTTGACATTGGAGTTTGAATTTAATTTGAGGAAGTTCAACACTTGTCACAAGCTGCCATACGGGGGCATCAGTGTTTCACAAACTCATCCTGAATTAAAAGCAATAAGCATTTGAAAACCATTGAAAATTTTACATTGTTTGTTATGCAAAAATTCCAAATGTCTTTGATATATATAGCTTTAGATAATTGGGTTTCCAATAGACCATGAGGTATATAAGCTGTCCCCTAACATGTAATGGACAATACACACGATAAACCATTTTTTAAAACTCTAGAATAAGTGGTCGGAGATATTTTATTATTTTTATGTGTAAGTCTCCTTATCTACAATAAAAAGTATTTAATTGATATCGATCAATATCCTCAAAAACGAATATTCACAATTTTCAGAAAATATTTGATAAGTCATTGGTCATAAATCGAAAGTAGTCTTTTTTTAGGACACCACAATACCAGGATGTAAGTCCGGCATATATAAGGTACATGCGTTCGGATTAACAATGGGAAAACGAGAAGATCGTCCTTGATAATTCACAATCACAAAATATAAGCTTCCTGTTCAAAATGTCTAGGGCCCTGGGTATTGCCTGTGTGGTTTCCTCATGGATTTTGCTTTTCCAGATCATTGGCGGAACAGGTACGTTATTTAAAATAATTAAGAATAATTAATATTTATTTAAATTTAAAAAAAAAAAACACAAAAAAAAAACACCAAAAAAAAAACAACACACACACACACTTTTTCTATGTCTTCTGCACCTTCTTTGTAGATTTCTTAACTGATCCTGAATTTTAGTCAATTCGAGCATTTGAGCATTATGTTGTGGGAAATATTTCTTTGTTGTGCATTGTGATTGTTTTAAGTGGGCTCCTTTAGAGTAAAAAAGATATGATTCTAGCCTTTCCTTATATATGAACACAATTCAGGGGTCCCTTTATGTAGCTTTCAGGGGGTACCTTATTTACATGCAGGAAGTTGCTGACAGGTACATTACTCGTAATATATTGACTCTTTATTTTCTTTATAACACGATAGTCTGAATTTTTGACATAAAAAAAATGTATAAAAATTATATAAATTCAGAATAGATTTTACCCTTCATAAACGCTCAATATTTCATACATTCTAAGGGGAGGCATTCACCACAGAACTTGAGCAGGCACCGGAGGACGAGGCCCTGAGGTTCATACATGACTCTGTAAAGGGTAGCTGTAAGTGTTCCGGCACCACGTGTGGATGTTGTCAGACGGTGTCCGTCCTACACGAGAGGAAGGAAGGTGATGTCTCGGCATTGTAACAAACATTAAAACGAGTACATATGCAAGTGAATAAAAAATATTTTAAAAATGAACAAATCGATTGTTTAACACAATATTTAATTGTACCTTTAATTACTGGGAGCAGAATGATAAATGACAGCATTAACTCCTTGAGAAAAATATATCATCCTTTAAAAGTAGTTTCTCCTTAAGGTAAGTCACTCCTCAGCTTTTTAGAAAAGTTCACGCAGAAGCTTTTACTCCAAAACTACGTATTAAAATTCAATTTTTATAACATATTTAAATTCAACAATGTAAATCTTTTGACATTAAATGAAAAAACTGCTCAAAAATCTTCAAAAGGCAAGATTTATGAGGGACTATTTCTTTTGGTGGAAGGATATTAAGCAGAAAATTCTGCAAATCTGCACATTTATAAAATTTAATGTAATGGAAATTTAGCCTCACATACTTTTTCTCAGAGAATATTTTCCGTTTTGATATTGTTAAAAATATTTAATATAGGTCTTAATTTATATTTTTAGACTAAGTTTTACACCTTCCCTCAACAAACTTTTCCAAAAAATGAAAATATATTAAAGAAGTCAAGATAAAATTTACACCATTTTTTGCCTGAAAATCACATATTTTGACCAATATTTCAAAATTAACATCACTGACCCCACCTTTTTCTTTCATTATTTTAAACAACTCGATACTTGTGACTGATCAGCACTTAAGTCGTAAAAAGTTTGATATAAGAAAATTTTTTATTGCCTATTAAGTTTTTTAATACCCCAAATATGTTAATTTTTAGTACATAAAGGTCACACAATAATTTACGCGCATTAATTTGCAAGATTTGTTTAATGTTAAATATTATTCAAACTATTTTACGTAAAATAAGATTATATTTATTGCCATGCTTACATCTGATCAAATATAATAAGGGTTAAAGTAATTAACCAAAGAGATGAAATTTAAGTGAAAAAAGGTCAACTTAAATGTACCGTAGATCAGTGGGATGCACACTGACTCCCTATTTTCTTTGCGATTTTGAGTTATACTTTATGAGTACTTATCCAAAATATACTTCTCAAAAACTCCTTGATTTAACAAATTTCGGGAGTGACTTACCTTAAATAGATGCGCATTCCTTTTTTTATTTAGTCTGTTTTATTTCTAAAGACTGAACAGAGATATAACAATACATTTATTTGTAATAAAATAAAATAAAGTCTCCTGGTTCGCAGGTGAGTGTGTCACTGTTGGAAATTCAAGGCATACTTGCTTACGTTAAATACATTATATTTGCAGTGTGTATCAAAGTGAAGTATCTAAAGAAAAACATAGGAGTGCTTTTGACGGTGACATGGGGTGGAAAAGTCGTTTACAGCAAGGAAGTCTCAGGTGGGAAAGTTTGTTATTCATCATTATATACATGTACCGGTTACTTCCTTATTTGTTTAACATGGATTGTGTATCGAGAGAAGTACGTCCTAACCTTCAATTTCCTGTTGGTGATATTTTTGCTTAACAATCGGAAATAATTAATTTCAGACATGTAGACAATAGTTTAATCTCGCAAAAGGAAATTAAAAAATTAAGTATTGGTCATAAAATTTAAATACAAATGTACTTATTCATTTCAAAAATAAAAAAGAAATTACTTAATAACAATGGTAACCGTTTATAGTTTTTAATTTTTTTCATTTAGTTAAAAACCCACCACCTGTTTGTTTGAAAGTGCCATTCCTGGGAAAGGTTGGCAAACTTTGCATCCAGCTGTACAACCTGCATGCTGGAGGGGATGGGCTCTCTGGATGCTCAAGAATAACCCTCAAAATTGCTTTTGTCAAAGTCATCAAGCTTGACCTTGGATGCTTCAAAATTCCTGTTGCTGATGACGAAATCGAATTCGAAGGAGCTCCTTGGAAAAAAGAACTGATGAAATCCAATGAAGTGGGCAGCCCTTTGCTAAACTACTTTCGATTTATGACGAAGCACATACAGAATCAAGAAAATGAATTGTATGAGGTCCTCATGCGAGAGATCATGGAAGAGGACTCTAAATATTAAGAAGAGAGGGGATAGAGACTTTCATCTCTTCTAATTTTTCTCTCGGTTATTTTATCTATGTCACACAGTCTAAATTATCAAGCTTGAGAGTTGAGACAGCGTCATAAAGCAGACTGAATCAAGTTGACTAAAATGTTTATAACGTAGTCACTATGCAATATTGAAAATAAAATGCTTTTTGTATGAAACTATATATCTGTCTACGAGTGCATTTTTCCCAATAAAACACTACGTTTTAGATGGAGACATTTTGTTGTTAGGCATTTAATCGCAACTTCATTTTTTTTTACTCAAAAGAAAAATATTTTATAAGATTAAAAAAGAAATGTTTTGTTTTTAATTTCAAAGATATTTATTTCTTTCATCCAAAATTAAGCTCTAGAATATGAGTCTATGGCACGCCAAATCCACAAAAATGAGCAAAACATAGTTTCACAATCGATAACTTAGGTTTATCGGTTGTAAACCATAGTTTACGGACTGTAAACTATAGTTAACAACGTTAATCTATATTTTACATCTGTAAACCATAGTTAACGCGAAAATCTATGTTTCACAACCGTAAACTATACTTAACATCGAAAACAATCATTTGCGATTGCAAAACATAGATTATCTGATAAATACAGTTTCACGATTTGTAAACTATAGTTTACAAACCGTTAACTATAGTTAACGATCTGATAAATATAGTTGTACGATTTGTGAAACTATGATTAACAATTCTTAACTATAGTTTACGATTGTAAACTATAGTTTACAGACGTGAATCTATGTTTATCAACAAAATCTATTGTTAACGCTTTATTCAGACAGATAAACTTAGATTAGCATTCGTAAACTATAGTTAACGACCGTTAAATATAGTTTTACAGATGAAAACTATACTTAACGAATCGTTAACTATAGTTTACGGTTTGTAAACTATAGTTTACAGTCGATAACCTAGTTTATCAATTGTGAAACTAGGTTTATCTCATTTTTGTGAATTTGGCTTGCCATATGAGTCTTATAGTAAATAGTACATTAGTACATAAAATAAAGTATATCAGTCTGTTGTTTAAAATTATAATATAATAACCAAATCTAAGTGGTCTTTTAAGGGTTATGGAAAATAACTAAAATGGACATTTTAATGATTTTTGTTTGTTTTTGTTTTGTTTTTAGTTTTGATTTTCAAGTCCTCTTGTAAAACACAGAACAGAGCATGACATTCGTTTCTAAAACGGTTGTAAAACATGTAGTTCTACTAAAATGTTCTGTGTTATGTCCCCGTAATCAAAGATTCGGATGTATAGAGAGTTTATCCTGTCCGCCCGTCCGTCTGTTTATCTGTCTGTTTGTCCGCAAAAACCTTTATCTTGCCCATAAATTTTAACTGCGTGGAACTTTGACTTTCATATTTCACAGGCGTATTCCTTGTGACAAGGCTCTCTTCGGGTAGCACCGAATTGGACCTCCTGGCCTTGGAGTTTGACCCACTTTTACAAAATAATACCAGACTTTAGCCATAACCATAATTTTTAGAAGGTTTGGTGCTCGAGCTTTCAAATTTTACCTGAGTATATTTATTGATACAGTACCTTTTAATTGGTATTTCTTAGCGTAACCCTAAGTTTGAATCACTTTGTTTAAAAAAAACTCTAACCATGGTCATAACTTTTGAACAATTAGTGCTTAGGGGGTTCAAATTTCACAGGTATTTTCCTTGTGAAAAGATCTTTTTTTTTCTTGGTACCGAAAAATTTAACCACTTGAAGTTTGATTTGCATTTAAGAAATCTCAACCGTTGCCCTAAGCTGTCATATGAGGGCAGTCATAAGCAGTCATATCAGTGTTTCACAAAACATCTTATCTCTTTTATGCTTTCACTTTTAAACAATACTACAATAGCTAAAACATTTCCTCTCTTACCCATGAAATTCATCCCAATGAAAGCCTTTGGGCTGAGGTTCGACAATTTCAAGATAAATATATAATAAAAGTTTCACGCGACTCTTAAGTTTATGCTTATTTTACATCTGGTACGATCTAAAAGTTTTAAACGTGTCACGTGGTTCTGTTTAAGGACTGGATTGGTTTGTTTCTTAGCTAATTAAATTTAAAAAGCTTGAATTATTTCCTTTAGAAGCAAAATCATCAACCACGTTGATGCTAATCATGCAGATATAAAAGAGACCATTACTTGCCCACATATCAGTTGCCTTCGCCAATCTTTGTAGACAAGGAAAATGAAAGTAATCGTGTTGCTTGCCTTTGCGTTTCTGTGCTATGCTGGACAAATTAAAGCAGTTGGTAAGATTTAAAATCAATATTCTAAAAAAAAAATTAGGCTTTATTTTTTTACCAAAAAAAAAAGACAAAACAATTCCCTGGGAATTTATCTACTTAGTATCAACATCATAAAAAGTGTAAAACAGAATTTGTCAAAATATGTTCCATGAAGGACGTTAGGTGTTCTTATCAAATTCTTAAAAGAATATGTAAGTTGAGTTAATAATCATTTCCTATCGTTTTATGTTTATACATCCACCAGTCAGATAAATTTACGAAAGTTCCTCAATAAACTAGTAAGCTATATTTACATTGAAATTACTTTTTTCAAGCTACATTTTATTTATATTACACTTGTAAGAAAAAATGAGATGACAGCCACTTTAATCTTTTGAATTTGTTAATTTCCTTTTTTTTATATTTTATTTTAGGTCAAGTTGATCTCGTAAAGGAAGGACGTCTTTTAAAAGATTTGCTAGAGGGTAACTTTGTTGGTGATGGGTGTACTTGTACACAAAATTCATGCTCTTGTTGCAAGGCTGTAACATGGCAGTCTATGACAAAAACAGGTGAGTATTTGGATACATTAAAATCCATTTATACCTCTCTTTAGGAAAAATTATTGATCACAATCGTTGATGTTTAGAATATTAAGGAAATGGGTTTGTAAAAAAAAATATTAGTTTCCTCTTTTCTTTTTTTTAAATTCAAATTCTCCGGGCCAAGTTTTCAGTCTTATTTGTTGGAATATATCTATCAAAAATCTTAATGTTGAATTATTGGTTTAATTTTAGTCTGTGGTGATATGAAATTCACCTCTCAGTCAAAGGAATTTTCCATCGATCTCAGTGCGGACAAAGCCCCGTTAATGAGCCTGCAAGTAACAGGTATTGTAAACGTATGACATATCAATTTCTGACACTGTTAAGCATATTTATTGTGGAGTAAGTGGTAAGATTGAGCAGGATATAATGATCGAGTTATCTCTTTCGTGTACTGACCGACTGCTGTCCGAAATATAAACATCTTTTATATAAAATCAGTTTTTGTTTTGGTTTAGTTGAGAATCCCAAAGCATGTAAAGACGTGACTGTACAAGGTCATAGCATCAAGGTTTGTGCAGAAATCGCCAATATCAAGACAGAGCCCGCAGAGATCAGCGGCTGCCTTAATCTGGCAGTCACTATGATGCAGACAGTCAACGTAGACCTAGGCTGCTTCAAGATGCCTTATACTGCGGACAGGAAACTTTTGTTCTGGGGAAACAATCGAAAATAAAGGAGGAAAACCAATTATTAAAACAAAGCTAGGAAGGTTCAACCTCCATATATACAAGAGTTCTTTGCCATCTGTTTTCAAAAATGCTCATTAAATGTTTTTCGTTCAAAAAATTGTCCAAATTGATATCCTGTTTTTTTAAGAGCAGCTCATTTTCTTTAACTGTCTATTCAGGTAACATTTCTGAACAACCTTTATTACCTTGTAGAATTTAAGTCATTGTAAAGTTTTTCCCATTAAAACTGCTTTTTTCTTCCTTATTTGGTGTGATTTTATGCCAACTGGTACCTAAGGTATCAAAGTCTATTCAGCAGGAAGTATGGGATGGGATAACCAGATATAAAAAAAAGTTTCAAGTCGAATATACTTAACTTCCTCTTTGTTGTACCTCAGTTCTGCATCCTGCGATGTTCGATAACAGGCGCGGATCCAGAATTTTTTTTTCCACCCCGGTCCAAAAAAAAAATCCAACCCAGAAATTTCTTGACAAGCAAAAAAATATTCCTAATAGGAAATATAAACTTATCGTTTATATTTTCTGTTAGGAATATTTTAGATAAATCATAGGTGGAAATGCAAAATGTTATTTAGATTAAAACACTCTACCCACATAATTAATAAGTTTTAAACACTTAATACAATCCTTTTCCACGATAAATTGAGGATGAGGCTTTTTGACCTGAAAGACAGCTGCTTTTTCAAAATTATGGAACTTTTAAATTTAAAATGTACTTAACATTTGCAAAATTATTTTGCTAAAAACATTCTGATTACACACACAAATATTCTAAAGTCGATCTTAAAAATGTGCTTGAGTTTTTGTTGTACAATTTCATAGTAGTTTTTGGAGATCAGGTAATCCAACAATCTTCACCCATTCCCTGGGTACCAATTGCGCCCTGTTATTAGCAGACCCAAGATCTAGCTATTGCTATCCACATAAAGATGAATTTATTTCAAAACAAACTTCAGCATGAGAAGACTAAAACACTTGATGCGCCCTTCAACTCAACATTTCGATATATTGATGACATTTAATCTATTTACAATAGTTACGTTCATCCAGTTATGTCGACTCGATATATCCAAGCCGGTGTAAAGGCGAATAATGACCCCCATCGAATAATGACCGGGGGTCATTTTTCGACAGCGAAAGCTATGACCCCCGGTCATTATTCGACGTAGAAAAATGACCCTTTTGCCCGTAGAAAAAGTGTCACTTCACTAAAAATTTGCAGAACCCACGTGAAGAAAAATGACCCCCGTAGAAAAATGACCCCCTGTAGATTAAAGCTAAAATTTTTAGGGGGCAAAAAAAAATGGATAAAGAAGCATATTGGCCAAAATGCTCACCTGAGCTTATTGGGAATAAACTGATGATATGCTGATCTCATAACATTATACAATTATAGCTATATTTTAAGGTAAATGCAACGATTCAGAATCTAAAGGAGTAAAAGATTTATCAAGCCTTAAGGGTTAGGTAAACATTGTTTTTTGATGGTGGAAATCATCGAACTGACAGAAAAAATCAGTTGTTGTATTATATATTATTATATCCTCCGCTTGAAAAGCGGGAGGGTATATAGTGATCGGGATGTCCGTCCGTCCGTCTGTTACGCTTTTAGATATCCATCTCTTATCCGCAAATCCTCATCTATAAAAAGATGTGTTTGTGAAACAGCTATCCCCTGTATGGCAACATAGCGAAGATTAAACTTTTCTTAAATGCAATTTAAATATATTGTTACAAAGTAGGGTCTTCTCACAAGAAATACAACTGCAAAATAAGAAAGCCCTAGCACCACTTGTTCAAAAGTAATGGCTGAGGATAAGTTTTTGAAAGGTAGGTCAAACTCAAAGGTCAAAGTTGATGATTTCTTAAGAAAATGTTTAATGTAACAAGGATAACATATGTGAAGTATGAATACCCTAGCCCTTACCGTTCAAAAGTTATGGCCAAGGTAAAAAAATTCATAAGTACGGAAAACTCCAAGGTCAAGGTCAAAAGGTCAAGGTTTTTAGTATCCAATGAAAGTTAATGGCAAAAAACTACATATTTGAAGTATGAGAGTACTAGTATCTACCGTTTAAAATTATGGCCAAAGTAAAAATTTGGCATTTTTGTGTAAAAAGGGGACAAACTCCAAGGTAAAGGTCAAAAGGTCAAATTTGGTGGTACTCAAAGTAAGGTCTTGTCTCAAGGAATATACATATTAAATATGAAAGTCATAGCTCCAATAAATGAAAAGTTATGGTAAAGGTTAAGGTTTTTGCGGACAAACAAACCGCCAGATAGACAGACGGACATACAGACGGACACGATAAAACTATATACCCCCGAATCTTCGATTACGGGGACATAAAAAGAAATGGTCTTCAATTAACTTTTCATATTAATATACATTATAAAAAAGACGTTACAACGATGAAAATGTTTGTTCTGATTTTCATATTAAATTCTCTGAAAAATATACTCAGAACTGAGTAAAAGGGTGGAGTAAAACAAGAATTAAAGTAGAACCTATGTCGGAAAAGTCTTTGTCACAGGATTTTCAAACTTTTCAAAATGATAAATTAGTACTTGCTTATCAATCAGTTAAGATATCATGATATGTTTCCTTGTTTTTTAATCTAGAACAGGCTGTGAAACTTGGTATGGTATTTACATACTGTGACTTCACATTTTCAAATATTTTTAGGGGTACTTGTCATAAAAGGAATATGAAAAATCACAAAAATACTTCTTCAAACATCGTCGTTTATAAACTTTTTAAACTGAATAATATTAAACAATATTTTATCAAGAATAATTTCTTTTTTATTCAATTAACATAAAAGATAAGTCCACCATTAAAAAAAAAATAGTCAAATGAACTCTATTATTTTTAGTCAATTATGCACCCTATATTTGTAAATATTTTTTAGAAGTCTTTGTCACAATGTTTTCATTCTTCAATATGATAAAGAACATAGCCAAATGATTACAAAAAATGATTAAAATATATACCTTTCCCCTCTAACTAATGAAAGATAGGCTATTTACCGATACTCATATTCTTGACCTTTTTGCACTTACACGGGATTTAATAATTAAATGACTGTTTGGGGTTACTTTCAGATTAAATATTTATCAGAAATTGTACTTTTACTTGAAAAAGATCATATTTAATAGAAAAATTGCAATAAAACACCAAGAATATGAATAGGTAACAAATAATTGTTAGAAGGAATGCACATCATTTCATATAGATATCACAAAAATGTACACACGATCAAACGATCTACAACACGTACATCTTTGACTTAGACACATTTCATCAAGATATTACACTATATAGCTGGCAACTAAAGATTTCTTACGATTTATGCATTCCTTCAAAATTGTTACATACCATTCAAATTATTACGAAAGTTGTATGTACATTGTAATTTCATTACACTATATAGTCTTGGGTTTATCAACTTCAGGTCTAGATCTAGTGAATAAAAGGTGCCTACATATTTTCTCTTATTCCAGAAATATATTGCCATTAAGCATTATAAACCAAAAAATATATGAATTGAATTAAGATTATGTTGGTATGATTGAATTCTGTGAATTTCAAAATGCAGTATTTTCTACCATTTTTATTGAAGCTGTCAAGTACGGGAAAAAGTGGTATTGAATTAATTATGACGTCTTAATGGGTTAGCACAGGTTTAACACATTTACCAGTTATGATGTCATACGAAGTAGGCTCTACGTTAAAAGAAATGTAATGAATACTATGTGCTAAATCAATGTTTATGTCTACATGTATAGTTTTTGCATTAGAATGACTGTATTTTACACTAGCCCATAGCTTTACAGAGCATATTTTTAGGTCTTATACTTACCCCACCCCCTTTCTTACTTAGGAGGAAGTCGATATTGAACAAAAACAAAAAAAAAAAAACACCATACCTTTATTTTTCTATAAGAAGGAATTAAAAATAATCTTAAAATAATCTACTATTCTACTAATTTTTAACTGTTACTTTGCCACAATACTTTCAAGTATACCCCTTCCAACATTTAAAGTACTAGTATGCTTTAATTATGGCGAAGTAAATTATGATATGATAGTACTTGTGTGAAGGCTTAACTTCATTTCAATATTTCTTCTAGAGCCTCTTTCAGAATTATTGAAAGGTATAGAGTTTTATTTATATTTTTGCTTTTCATTTATTATTATTAGTTTTTTGTTTTGATTTTACGTAATGTTCTTTTTTTTGGGGGGGGGGATAAAAATTCCCTCCTCTTTCATTGTCAAATAGGATTTGCCAAACTTAAACAAACTAAAAGTTGAAATGACGGAAAATTTAATTTTCTTATTAAAGAGTATTTATACCTGATTTTTGCATGGTTTGATTTCTAAAAACAAGTGGAATATCATTCTTTAAGCAAACATTATAAGGAGGAATATTAAAAAGAAATTTTATTTACTTGACAAATAAAGAATCTCTTTTCAAACACAATTTTAGCATTGAAAGACAACGTGAATCTCTTAATTATTTCATACGACTTTTTGTATTTTTCTGGTTACAGAAAATGTAAATATAAGTTTCGCTGTAAAAAAGATATCAAAGAGTGTATATTTTGTATCACTTTAAAGGGGGTCATTTTTCAATGGGGGTCATTATTTTATAGGACTAACATAAAATAATGACCCCCTAGGACCCTTTTTCTACAAAAAATGATTTTTTTCTACGGGTGGGGGTCATTTTTTGTCGTTGAAAAATGACCCCCCGGTCATTATTCGATGGGGGTCATTATTCGTCTTTACACCTGCTTGAAATAGAAGATACCAGAAAGTATGACAAGACTGTTTTATATTCGTTTATTTGATTTTTATTAAGCAACGAAACGATGTTAAATATAACATAACAACAAACAACCTTGTATGATGAACACGACGACTTTAATTTTTCAATCATAAACTTTCCTTAGTTATAAACACTGTAGCAAAATACCTTATCAACTGCTTGTGGAGTGTATCTCAGGTCTCTGTTGATTCCATATGCACGACCAGGCTCTAAAACAATGCAAGCTATTGATAAACAAGTTGTTGAAGTAAGAATATAAACTATCTCTTTCAAAATCATCATTTCGCATGTTTTACGGTCGATACAGTGATCTTGTTAGCAATTACAACCTATCTTGTCTGCGGATTTTGGCGTACAAGAAGCAGGTGACAAGGAGCACAGGGCGGTTGTAACCGGCCGTCCAGGAATGCTCACTCATCCATGAAGTTTTTTTTCCTTCGTCACTTCTTTAATGTGTGCAACTATTGAGATATATATTAAATACCTAAAAACAAACTGATAATAAGATAAAGTAAGTTACTTTGAATAGAAAAAATCATGCAGTATCGTTACTTTCATTTTGCACTTTTACAAATTTGCACATTTTAAAAACATGCCTGCTTTTTTTTTTAGCACAAAATAAGTCAGTTACATTGTTACAACATGATATTGTGTAATATGGGAACAAATATATTTTACAAGTGATTTTTTAACTAATTTTGAATTTTATTTCACTATCTCAAACAAAATTCATAAATGATAATTTGTAAAACTTAATTTACTACTAGCTCTTGGTTGATATAATACGCATCCTGTAACCTTTTCAAAATTGTTTTAGTGATTTCTTTCCTTTCCTGCAATGCACAATTCTTGAAATTCTCTTTTGTCTACGAATCACTTTTTTGTTTTGTCTAGACACATACACAGTACAGATAAAAACATGAATCCTACAACAAGATATGTTTGTGAAACCCCGATGGCTCCTTATAGCAGCTTATGGCGAGGGTTGAATTTTCTCAAATTCAAGATAACCTACGAATTCAATGTCAAAAGGTCAAAATTGTTGGTATCCAAAGTTGGGTCGTGTCACAAAGAATACACCTGTGTTATATTAAAGCCCTAGTACTAACCATTCAAAAGTGGTCAAATTTAAAAGTTTTTTTTTACGGTAGGACAAATTCCAAGGTCACGGATCAAAAGTCACTATTGTAGGTATCTAAAGAAAGGTCTTCTCAAAGGTAATACACCTCTGAAATATGAAAGCAATATCCCCAACCACTCAAAAGTTATGGACAAGGTTAAAGTTTTTGCAAACAAAAACAGAGAGACAAATAGACAGACAGACGGAAGGACAAAACTATACACCCCAAACTTTCTTTTACAGGTGCATAAAAACTAGTTTTTTAATTGTGGTGTTGACCTTTTTGTCACGTTCCACATACGCTTTCCTATATCGTCTTTGTGTCCTACTTTCTGTAAGCTTCTCAACATCATTGCAAGAGTTAAGAACCTTTTGTAATCTATGTCTCTACAAACATATGTTATAAATTTCCCTAAGCTTTCTGGTAATTGGAATTGTAAAAATATATAATGATATCAGTTCTAAAATCACTAAGGGATGTATGGTAATGGGCAAGGAAAGATAACTTTTAAAATCATTTTCATAATGTAATTACGAAAAGCTGCAAAATTGAGCTTAAAAAATTTAAAATGCACTTTTGATAATTTTATTCTGCCATTAAAATGTCTCGTAATGTCTTTCTTTCTCTCTTTTTCTCTCACATCGGACACATTATTTGTACGTTAAGTGCTTACAACTCAAAGTGCTTACAATTACTGATCTGGAATTTTACATTTGACGATTTTATTTTTTACGGACATGTTCAATTCGTAAAAGATTAACGCGTAAAAGTTTAAATCACCCTTTTTTTTAACCAAAATTCGTAAAAATTTACAGCAGTAAAAATTACCTGTTATACGGTATAATTAAAAATGCCATATAAGCTATATGTTTACACATGTATAAAAGTTGATATATATTTCTAAAGGCACTACATAAAATGGAGTAGATTTTTAACAGTTCTTTCCATTATGCATATACGAATATTAAGTATATCCATAGGGTCCAAAGGGTTTGATGCTCCTTTTGCACTCTTGAAACTTGAAGGTTAAATTCAGTCTCTTTCCTAGTGCAGCATCAAAAACTATGGTTTAACACGGGTAGTGACAATTCGTATACTGGGTCTTTAGCATGCCGTGGGTCGTTTGGATATTATTTCTAAAAAGAGGTCCCATCTCACGTTAGGCGTTCGTCATTAATGCACTATGCATAACTCAAAATTGTGACATTTGACTTTCAGTGGATGATCTCTCTATCTGGGTGAAAAATCCTAAAATGGGGTACAGCAACATTTAATTATCAAGTATATGTACATATAACATAAAGAAACCCCTGTCCTTCTTGCTAGTTTATTTTCTAAGACAGGGCTGCTATGCTAGTAACTTATAATGTATTGATGTTGTCAAAGAAGTGTGATGAATAGATTGAGTCCTCACATGAAGACCCAGTTAACAAAATATATGGACTCCTATGCCATTCGTACGGAAAAGTGTTCTTTTAAAAGTTCGAGGCGAGAATTTATAAAACCATCACATCAGAAACTCCCTATCTATGAAAGTTACATGTAAACCCATAGAAAATAAATCTATAACACAAATGGGAAATGCATTTTCCCGCTACACCAAAGATAGCTTTTATCATTTCTAGAACAAATATGCAGTACTGAAAAAGAAATACAAAGAATATATGCAATACTCATAAGGAAATACAAAGACGTAGCTAGCATATATAGATAAACTAAACTATCATTATCATATTAATAATTATGCTAAATACAATATTCACGCCTTAAAGCCTATACATGTAAAAACAGTTTTTCTTTATTGTTTTAGCGATATTTCAATGAGACTTCTCCATGTTTAGTTTCATGACTCCAAGTCTTTTCAGTCCTTTGATTTTTTAAAGTAGAAATTTGACATTTTTGAGTCAACATGCATGGCTTATATAAATTCTTAACAAATCAACAGAAAATTGTACTCTAACCAAAAGTTTATAAAGAGAAATAATCTACATAAGCTGATACCCTTTATTGTGAGTATTTGCTTTTCTTGCAAATATCTTCAAAATGAAGCGAAAAGTTTTTATTTAGATGTAATAACCACCCTTAACCAAGTTCATAATTTGGTAGTCAGTGTTTTGATTTACAAGAACTTTACATGCAACTTTTGATGTTGGTTAAAGGTGGTTAAGACATGCACAGGAGTTCTATAATACAGCAACCCTCTTGAGTTTTCCCATTACTCTAATGCTAATACGAACCGATAGTGCTTACTTTGAGACCCTAGTACCATAACAAATACTATTGTATTATTACCCAATCAATATTTACCATTAAATTGGAACATTAGTCTACTGATTCATGCAATTTTTATGAGAAAAAATACTATTTGGAAATTTGAAGTCATTGTAGGCCGCAAAACGGCCTTATAGAGAACGGTCCTATCACAGGTATATTTCTTGTGAAAAGATCTTTCTCTTGGTACCGAAAAATTTGACCACTCGAAGTTTGATTTGCATTTAAGAAATCTCAACCGTTGTCCTAAGCTGTCATATGAGGGCAGTCATAACCCAGCAGGCACACAACGTTGTTTAAACGTTGAATACTAGTTAAAGTTGGGTTTAGACGTTGATAAATCCAGATACAATATTGATTCAACGTTGAATCAACATTGAATTCAAATTGAGTTGAATTGCCAACATTGATTCAACGTCGGATCTACGCTGATGAGCGGGCCAATCCTATTTTACGCTGATAGATAATTAGATAGATAATGAGGTACATATGAAAATAATACTTACTATTATACCTATTTAAATCATGTTCAAAGTGGACTGTTTCAAGTCAGAAAATCACAATGTTGTATGTGGTTGCAATTGTAAGAAAAAATATATTTGTGATGAGGAGTTATCTTTCTTCTAAATATTTCTTCATGTAAAAAAAAGTCATTCTAATTAAAATACTGTATTATAAGTACTTGAAATATTAAAATATTTTTAAAATGGTACTTAAAAGATACAACTTATTCAATTTATAAGGTGTATGATGTTGGATTTAAATGTTTTATTGTTAAATATAATAAAACAATTACAAAGAAATTTGCAAAAGAAATAGAAAGTAATGTTTCCATCATATGTTTAATCTCATCAAACTGACTACTCAGAAGTCTCAGGTACCTGATTAAGAAAACTGTGGGTAGTATTACTATTTTGTACTTTGAAATTTATCTGTCTTATCAGAGGGTCGCTATCCCTTCAACAATTATGAAGGCATCTTAGCAACCGTGCAATAAAATGGTTGAAATTTTAAGTAAGTATATTATTACTATATGACACCCCCTTTCCAAAATAAATAATATAATATATAATCAACGTTGATTATCAATGTTGATTCAATGATAAGACTTCAACGTTGATACAAATTTTCAAAATCTAACATAAAATCAATGTTGAATCAATATAGAAAAACAACGTTGATTCAAAGTTTTTTCAATGTTGTGTGCCTGCTGGGAAGCTGTTATATCAGTGTTTCACAAAACATCTTATCTCCTTTAAGCTTTCACTTTTAAACAAAACTACAATAGCTAAAACATTTCCTTTCTTACTCATGAAATTCATTTTAATGAAAGCCTTTGAGCTGAAATTCGACAATTTCAAAATAAATATATACGAGAAAAGTTTCACGCGACTATTAAGTTTATGCTTATTTTACATCTGATACCATCTAAGAGTTTTAAACACGTGGTTCTGTTTAAGGACTGGATTGGTTTGTTTCTTAGCAAATTAAATTTAAAAAGCTTGAATTATTTCCTGTAGAAGCAAAATCACCATCCACGTTGATGCTAATCATACAGATATAAGAAGAGACCATAACTACCTGCCCACATATCAGTTGCCTTCGCCAATCTTTGTAGACAAGGAAAATGAAAGTAATCGTGTTGCTTGCCCTTGCGTTTCTATGCTATGCTGGACAAATAAAAGCAGTTGGTAAGATTTTTAATCAATATTCAAAAAAATTAGGCTATATTTTTTTTTACAAAAAAAGACAAAATTTCCTGAGAATTTATCTACTTAGTATGAACATGGTAAAAAGTGTTAAACAGAATTTGTCAAAATATGTTCTATGAAGGACGTTAGGTGTTCTTCTCAAATTCTTAAAAGAATATGTAAGTTAAGTAAATAATCTTTTCATGTCGTTTTGTGTTTATACATCTACCAATCATATAAACTTACGCAAGTTCATCAATAAACTAGTAAGCTATATTTACATTGAAATTACTTTTTTCAAGCTACATTTTATTTATATTACACTTGTAAGAAAAAATGAGATGACAGCCACTTTAATTTTTTGAATTTGTTAATTTCCATTTTTTATATTTTATTTTAGGTCAAGTTGATTTCGTAAAGGAAGGACGTCTTTTAAAAGATTTGCTGGAGGGTAACTTTGTTGGTGATGGGTGTACTTGTACACAAAATTCATGCTCTTGTTGCAAGGCTGTAACATGGCAGTCCACAGGTGAGTATTTGAATACATTAAAATCCATTCATACCTCTCTTCAGAAATAATTTTAATGATCACAATCGTTGAAGTTTAGAATATTAAGGAAATGGACTTGTAAAATAAAAAAAAAATGAGTTCTTGTGATCTTTTCTTCTTTTTACTTAAATTCTTCGAGCCAAGTTTTCAGTCTTATTTGTTTGAATATATCAATCCAAAATTCTAATGTTGAATTATTGTTATAATTTTAGTCTGTGGTGATATAAAATTCACCTCTCAGTCAAAGGAATTTTCCATCGATCTCAGTGCGGACAAAGCACCGTTAATGAACCTGCAAGTAACAGGTATTGTGAACGTACAATTGTATGACAACATACCAATTTTGACACTGTTAAGCATATTTATTGTGGAGTTAGTAGTACGATTGTGCAAGATAAAATGATCGAGTTATCTCTTTCGTGTACTGACCGACTGTTGTTCAAAATGGAAACATTTTCTTTTTATTAAAATCAATTTTTGTTTTGGTATAGTTGAGAATCCCAAAGCATGTAAAGACGTGACTGTACAAGGCCATAGCATCAAGGTTTGTGCAGAAATCGCCAATATTAAGAGCGAACCTTCAGAGATCAGCGGCTGCCTGAACTTGGCTGTCACTATGATGCAGACAGTCAACGTAGACCTCGGCTGCTTCAAGATGCCTTATTCTATGGACAGAAAACTCTTATTCTGGGGAAACAATCGAAAATAAAGGAAAAAATTGGTTATTAAAAGAGACTGGGAAGATTAAACTTCAAAATATCAAGTTCTTTACCACCTGCTTTGTTCTGTTTCCAAAAAATACTCACTGAATGTTTTTCTTTCAAAAAAGATGTCCACAAAGAGATCGTGATTTTTTAAAGAACAATTCCTTTTCTTTAACTGTCTATAAAGATAACCATATCTGAACAAACTGTAGAAAATATTTTATTGTATTTTTTCCCCAATAAAACTGCATTTTCTTCCTTATTTGGTGTGATTTTATGCCAGTGCCTAAGGTATCAAAGTCTATACTGCGCGGAAGTACCAAGCGGGATAACCAGATATGAACATGTTTCAAGTCGAATCTAGTAAACTTCCTTTTTGTGGTACCTCAATTCTGCATCCAGAGATAATCGATAAATCATATTTCCTGTTAGGAATATTTAAACTAAATCAAAGGTGGAAATGTGTAATAATTAGTTAGAAAGCCCTCTACCCACATCATTAACAAGTTTTAAACACTTAATACAATCCTTTTCCACAATAAATTGAGGATCAGGCTTTTTGACCTAAGAGACAGCTGGATGGACGGAAGGACAAAACTATACACCCCGAAACTTTTTTTACAGGGGCATAAAAACTAGTTCTAATTGTGGTGTTGACTTTTTTGTCACGTTCCACATAAGCTTTCCTATACCGTCTTTGTGTCCTACTTTCTGTAAGCTTCTCGTCATCAGTGTAAGAGTTAAGAACCTTTTTGTAATCTATGTCTCTACAAACGTATGGTATAAATTTCCTAAGCTTTCTGGTAATTGGAATTTTAGAAATATATAATAATAATATCAGTTCTAAAATCACTAAGGGATGTATGGTAATGGGCCAGGAAAGATAACTTTTAAAATCATTTTCATAATGTAATTACAAAAAGCTGGAAAATGAAGCTTTAAAAATTCAAAATGCATTTTTGATAATTTTATTCTCCTATTAAAATGTCTCATAATGATAAAAAAAATTTTAAACCATTTTGATCAATTAGAATAAAATGAAGTATTAAACTGTTTCAAAAGAGAGACCTATGCATAATCAAATATTTAGTATTATTTAAGAAAAAAATATGGACGGACGACAATATTGTAAATTTGCATCATAAAAACCTTGTAAATAGTTCATCTATTACAAATATGAACAACAGAAGTTTATTAAGGATCTGTTCTTTGTCCTTGAAATAGCTAATGTCAATTTTGCAACAGAAAAATTTGACATCATTGCAGCCCATATCGCTTTAAATTTTAAATGCAACAATTTTCATTTCATGTATGTCAATTTCTATCTAGCCTCTTTGAAGTTTTGTAAGAAAAACATGGATAACGAATTATAGTAATTGAGCTCAAAAGTTCATGTAAACAATACAAATTGGGAGCAGACTATACATGGACCTCTTAAATAGCGGAAATAGAATCAGGTGCTATGGAAAAGTAAGTATCCCATGTGTGTTCCTCGATATGATCGTAAAAACAGAAAACTAGTCGATTAATCAATTTTTAAATAATAGTCTAAGAAATAGTATGGAAATGTCAGTAAGCATTTTGCTATTATGAAACAAGAATTTCAGCAGTCTCGTTTGAATAAATCATTCATCATTCGTAAGTTCTATGATCGATACAATGACCATGAAATACGTCCGCAAAATCGTTAACATTGTCCATAATTTTTAATTGATTGAGCTATAGCTTTCATATTTCATATGTGTATTCATTGTGACAAGACCTTCCTCACGTACGAAATTTTTGACTTCTTGATCCTGACCTCAGAGTTTTGCTGAATTTTGCAAGAATTTACACTTCTTAAACCTCGGCTAAAATTTTTGAACGGTTGATTTCAGGTGTTTTTTCTTCACATATTCATTGTGCTAAAGCCTTTTACGGGTATAAATATTTTTACCTTGACTCGTGAGCTTGATCCCCTTTTAGAAAAATTTTACCTTGGATATAACTTTTGATCAATAAGAACTAGAGCCATCATATTTCACAGGTGTATTCAATTTGATCTTTGAACTAGGAGTTTGACCTCTTTTTAAAAACACTTTTGCCTTGTCCGTGACTTTTGGACAGACACACGAGTATTTCCATGAGTACCTTAAATTTAACAATTTAAGTTGACCTTGAAGTTTTAACCACATTTGAAAAACTTTAATCTTGGGTTTTCAGGGTTAGTGTTTGGGCTTTCATATTCCACAGGTATTGATATATATCATTAAGAACAAGTCCTTTCTCTGGGCAACAACACTTTTCACCCCTTGACCTTGGAGTTTGAGTTGCATTTCAGAAACTCCAATCCTCGCCAAAAGCTGTCATACAAGGGACAGCGTTTCATAAACAGATCTTTTTTACTCTTTTTTTAATTTTTAAAGAAATTTTTTTTTTAAATAATATTTTTTATTATATGATTGAATAATTTCTATCTCTCTGATTGGCTGAGATCCAACTATGTTAGAAAAATACTACGTTGTATTGACCTGCACGTGACGTTCCAGGTCAATACAAGGATTTATTTCCTTTACATTGATCTAAAAATAGATTGGGAAATTCCAAATTGATACAAATTGTCTTGGAAAGCTATTTAAACGACCGTGAATTTTTTTTTCATGTGAAAAAAAACATTAGCGAATATATATTTTAGGGTGAGGGTGGTAAGAGGGGATGCAGGGACCCCCCTCCAACACTTTTACTGAACAACGTGTTTTTTTTTTTTACTTTTTGGCAGTCAGTTTTCCCTGATAATACTCCTTCCTTTCAAAATATATCCTATAAAAAGACTGACATTATATTATTTTTTTCATGGCAACTAAAATTGATAAAAAAAAAAACAACATAATTTCAAATTGATACGACTGGTAAGGTTTATTCACATTTTAATTCCGTTTCTCTCTTGTATTTGCGTATCGAATCAACTAAGATGCATAAAATCCGTATGCAGGTGATGAATTAGTGCATAAATAACAATTGCAAATTGGAGAATTATAAAGATAACACAATCTGAAGACCATAGATAAAATACTTTAATTTACTCTACCTACATTTTTTTCTAAAACTTTTATCTCAGAAACCCTAGTAAACGGTAATTAAATACATTTTTATATATAGTGTTTTTCTTAGCGTGTTGTTGAAGAATAAAATCAGAGAAAGTTTAAGCTTATGGTAAAACTTTATCGAAAGCAAGATTTTATCAATAAATTTAGATTTTTACTGAACAAGATAAACAAAGTGTTTTTGAAAATGTCGAAATTTTAAAAGTTAAATTAAACACAAAGCTTAGATAACTTTTACACTTTAATTTTGTTGTAAATGAATATTTATTGTACAACACAGGTTATGATTGAATTGGTTTATGATAAAGTTAAAACGCTGTTCCATTCTGATGACATTGTGTCCTCAGCTTTCATAACTAACGTTGCAATTTGGATATGCATTAATGTATGGTTGAATCATGTAGAGAATGCTAAATATTCTATCATTTGACCAATTTATTTTTACTTTCCTTTATATCAATTATTAATTTGTTTCAAGAGGGAATGAATTGAGGCACCACTAATATCATCCTTGGCATTTCAAACAATAATCCAATATTTTCTAGATTTTTGAAATTTTCCTTATTTCCAATCAAGTATCTTTGATATATACACTAGTGTATAAAATATCCTTATTGTCAAGGACCATATATCCATAGGGAGAACATTGACATCGGTTGGGCAAACCGACTTTTAACGATGAAGCTGATCTTCGTTTGTCTCGTTGTTGTGTTTTTTAACAAAACATCTGGTAAGTTATGAAGAGTTTGATTTCATATTGGCATAGAATATTATACTATTGTACCATTCCATATCCTTTGCATATTATTTATCAAAATAATTTGTAGAATATTCATAAATAACTACAATTTGCCTTTTTAAAAGGTAAAGAATTCTTCTTGGATAATCCTCTTGAGGGCAGTGCAATGGGGGGCGATCTTGGAGACGATGGTTGCCACTGTGAGATGAACGAATGCAACTGTTGTAAAACCCTGACTTTACCAATGGTTCATATCTCCAAGGAAGGTATTGTTGATATAAATATTAACAGTTTTTTTCTCCTTTAAAGAAATCTTCCTGAAGCAAACCAGTGTTTACATGTAAATATTGCAGCTTGTATTGGATTGGCGTTCAACAATGCGGAGCAGGCGTTTCACGTCAAGTTTACGCTTGATGGGAGTAACATCTTTGACAGAAAAGTTCAAGGTAGAAATTTTTGTTGTATAATATTTTTTTTTAAATTTCTTTAAATGGAAAGCCTGGTGATATTTTTATGAATAATTCTGATGATATTTTTAATACCCTAGGAAAGGATCCAAAACCACTCTGTGTGAACATTCCTGTTCTGAAGCATCTTGTCAATGTATGTATTGAACTCGCAGACATCAAGATGGACACAACTGGACTACAAGGATGTGTAAATCTTGTTGCGTCTGCTTTTGTGGAGAAAAAGTTTCGCATCGGCTGTTTTAAAATGCCGACCGCTCATACAATGGACAGTGCTGAAGTTTTGGTCTTTGAGAGAAAAATTAAGATCAGAAATTAATGCTTCCATAATTGCTGTCATTGTTGAACAATATTATGCTTTTCTGTAAAAAAGTTGAATCTGATTCGTCGAGAAACATTTTTTAAAACAACAAATATTCTCTATGAAAAATGATAACACGTACTCGATGGTACATGTAGCTACAATCATTGGTTATATTCCAAAAAGTATTGACTGAGTTTAGTCTAAAAACCGTGTTTAGACTATATCCTAGTTTCTTACAATATTATTTAATGACTAAAAACAAAAAAAGTATACATTTTTTTTATTAAACCCTTTACAGTGTTTTGAAATCATAAGTCGTTTTCTACAAATACATTACTGTATACAGGGTTATTTTCGCCCCGTTTTATTTTCGCCCTTTCACTCTTGCACACAATTTTGCCCCGTTTTATATTCGCAAAGTCACAGTTTTTTAAAAGAAATTGTATCATTTGAATTCGCCCCTTTTTAAATTCGCCCAACCTAGGTTAGGGCGAAAGGGGCGAAAATAAAACGGGGTCGAAAATTTCCCTGTATACAGTAACTTTATGCTTTGAAATGTGCGCTGAAAAGGGACTACGGTTCTGTCATCCCAATCTTTAAATTGAATTTGTAGAGAACATTTTATGTGTCGTTATTGCAATGAGAGAACCAGTTGGTTAAATAAAATAAAGACATAAACTGATATATCCTTTGACTATATTACCCACTGTAGGGCTGCATTGTTGAAAACTTGGACATGAACTGAATGCCTTGGTAGTAAACATCTGTCAGCTTAAATTAAAAATTCCATGAAAGCCTAGTTGAGTTATCTTAAATTTTCAGTATCTGTAAAAGTATAGTGGCTTTGCAGAATAACCAAATGAAAAGTAATCCGTAAGTAATAAAATTTACTAAATACTGAGTATAAATTGAATTTTGCATTAAATATAACAATTTCTTAGTTAGAACAATGTTTGCATATACTGGACATAGCGTTTTTAGTTCAGTTTTCGCGAAAGTTGAGGTCAAGTTTATTTTGGGTGTTCTCTCTGCCATAGCTGACACGTATTGAAGAACTAAGATTGCGCGACAATATATTCGACATTCTCAGGAAGGGTGAAATTCGTGCACAATGACTGTTGCATTTAAATGCCTTCTTAACGAAATTCAAGTGAGATGTTTTCGTCGAAATATTAAAATCATTTTCATTTTTAATTTTTATAAAACTGACGTATTTATTCTTGATATACCTCTTAACATATCTTCTTTATAAGTTATTTTCTAAAAAAAAAAAAATTCTACTCCATTAAAAAAACATCAATAAACTTTAAAGCTTATTTAGTACTAGTCGTACATGTACATGTTTTTGAGACTAAAGTGTTATAAGGACTTCAAAATTAACAGAAGTATTTAAAGTGTTTACATTTAATGCATCTCTCTTAAAGTCGTAACAATCCAATTAGTTTGATTTCATTTTGTCCCTAGTCATAAATTCGTGCTGCATTTTGGGTATACGTGAGAAAGGATCACATTGGCACTTTTCTTTTCGAATTTCCTAATGACTGTTCTCATGATTTAGGGACATGAACTGTGAAATTACCAATACCTTCCTGAACAATTAAAATTTCATAAATTTTATAGGTTTCCTTATTTCAAGTACGATTTCATAAATAAGACTTTCCTCAATTCAAAGGATCATTCGATGAGAAACATTCAATCCCGGTTGGTCAACTACAGAATTTTGCGATGAAGTTAATCTTTCTTTTTCTTGCTGTTGCTTTGTTGTATGATAAAACATCTGGTAAGTTGCGAAAACACCGATTACCACAAAAGTCCATTAAGGACCTATTAAAAATATTTTTAAATTCAATATAACAATTGGTCGAATTTATAACGAATTTAATTCGTTATAACAGTTTCTTTGAATTCGTTAAAACAAATTCAAGAAAAGAAATAATAACGAACTTAATTCGTTATTAATTACCTCAAATTTAAACAAAGCTTATGTTGATGACATCCAATGTTTTTTATTCATGCATGTCTTTCTGCAAATTTGTATACCAACTGGGGTTTTAGAGTGAGGCTCTGCTCATCTACACACATAATGACCTCTCAGTTGATTGATTTTTTATACAACATTTATTTCTTTACAAGGGATAGAATTCTCCCTTGACGATCCTCTGGAGGGCAGCTTTGTGGAGGACATCTTCGGGGGAGACGGCTGTAAATGTGAGGAGGACAAGTGCAGCTGCTGTAAAACGCTCAGCTTACCCAGAATTCAGTTCTCTAAAACAGGTATGATAGATAACTATACAGTTCTCTGGATATCGAATTGATATGGACCGATTTAAAGAAAGTTATGCTTACTGTTTGCAGCTTGTATTGCGCTGGAGTTCAACAACACCGAACAAGCTTTTCACGTCAAGTTTTCGCTTGATGGAAGAGAGATCTTCGACAAACCTGTTCAAGGTAAAATAAACTTTGTTTTGAAAATGATTTGGAAAAAAAAAATCGTAACACATAAAAGTTTGATAGTTTATTTATCTGTTTTCAATATTTAAATTTGTTGAATGTAGGAAAGAATCCCAGACCTCTCTGTGCAAGTTTACCCCTCATGAAACATATGGTCAGTATCTGTATTGAGCTGTCGGATATCAAAATGGACGCCACTGGACTCAAAGGCTGCGTTAATCTTGTTGCCACCGCCATTCAGGAACACAAGTTCCAAATCGGCTGCTTCAAAATGCCGACAGCTTTTCTAAAAAATCATGCTGAAATTTTGATCTTTGAACGCGAAATCATGATCAGAAACTAATTTTAATTTCAAGACAAAATGTTGCGATACATTGTTTCAAAAGTGCATTTGCAAACAAATTTAAAGATAAACTTGGACGAAGATCTAGAAAACACTGTAAATATGAAACCTTGATTTTTTTTTCAATGTAATCAATGTACATAAATAATACGTCTGGTTAGTACATTTACACAAATTTCATCCAGGAAAGTATTTAAGTGCTGAATTTTATGTAACTGATATATCACATTGTGAGATCGAAATGACTTTTTTTCCTTTTTTTAAAGATAATCACATCATTTTTTTAAAGAAATATGGAAAGTCAGTTGAACTTTTAATGCTCGTACATTGTAAATATATTACACTTCTCATTGCATATGTTCATATTTATTATTTTGTTATAAAGTTTTTAATATGTCAAAAATGATCAAGATGTGTTTTTGAAACACTTTGTTCCCGGCGGCAACAAAGTTCGAAAAAGCTATTTCTAGCACTAGGGTCAAAGTCAAGGTCACAAGGTCATTGACCTTGATCACCGATAGAACTTAAATAGTGAAGTATGCATATAATATGTAGTTCAAACGTTATGGCAAAAGTTCGAAAAAGCTATTTATAGCATATAGGTCACAGTCAAGGTCACAAGGTCATTGACCTTGGTGTAATTTGAAAGAGCATAATAAGTGGATCATGCATACCAAATATGAAATCTGTATCTCTCAAGGTTAAAAAGTTATGGTAAAGGTTAATGTTGACAACAGAGAGACAAACAGATAAATAGAGAAACTGACAGATAGAGCAAAACCAATAATATAATACGCTCCGGATCTATCGATCCGGGCGCATAAAAATAATTCATACTACTGTATATCTAATAAAAACGTGCAATTTAATTGAATATTAAAATGTGTTTTCTATTTCATTGAACACGTGTATATGTATATAAATTTTACAGGCTTAGTTTTTGTTGATAATTTTCGTTTTAAATTACTAATAAAAATTCTTAAAAAGACATCTTTCCAACATTTGTATACATCTGTTGTGTTTAGAATGGATGGCAATTGGTGTGGGATTATAGATTAGTTAGACAATTAAAAAAAAAATATTTTTCATTTTCCGCTTTCTTTTGAAAGCTTGGGGATACTTTTATATTTTAACCAAATAAAAATATTACCTAACAAAGTATATTTGAGAAATTAACAACGTTATTCTTATGAAGAGCAATAACTCTGCTGACACGCATCAGGGAATATGCCAATAGAGTAATTGCTATTGACGGGCAAGCGACTGAGGGGCAATATGAAACCCCTCTATCCTTCTGAGTTCAATAATTCAGAAGTTAAAACAGAATAGGATAGATAATATGATCTATATGTACGGGTCTAAGCTGACAGAGCAGATAACAACGTTGTCTTTTGCAATGATTATTTCAAGAAACCTCATGAGGACTGCGTAACAATATTCGAAAAGTGGTTAAAGTAAGATGTTATTACTTAAAAATTCCAAGGAACCTTTTTTGAAAATTTAAAATTACCAAAATAATTAAACGAAATTGTATTCCCCACGATGAATTATAATCATGGTTTTTTGACATCATTGACAAGTACAACTGTACTTGTTCAATAGAAATGGAACTCGTTTTAATTATTTTGATTATTTGCAAATGTATTTTTAATAAACAGTTTGAAATGTACACACAAGTACTATGAAGTTGATTCTTTTTAAAAAGAGGCTTGTGTTTCTGATTACAACATCTATGTGGTTTTGGAAGACCAGGTCGTCCAACAATATGTTAAAAATCTCATGGGTACCAATTGCGCCTAGTTATTAGCACACTTATTTTGTATTCATATGAAGCAGACTTTATTCAAAATTTTATATTGTGAGAAGAAAAAAATTGTTATGGCCTTCAATTTGACGCTTAGATATCGACGATACATTATCAATAAACAATAGTGATTTTAATTTATATGTCGACAGACTCAACACGATATCCCAGTGAGCTTGAATTAAAGATTTCACAGAATCTGACACATCTGTTTCATATATTACTAGAAAGTTTTCTGAATATTTTACACGAAAAAAGCCGTTGATGGTAAACTAACAAACAAAACTTTATGATGAACGTGATGACTTAAACTTTACGATTGTTAACTTCCCTTTCTCATTTAGCAATATATAAATAATTTCATATTATAATTTCTTATCACCTGCATACGGGTTTTATATCTCTCATTTGATTTCATACACAAAAACAATAGCATGTTCTACGTATGAAAAATGTCTATTAAATCGATGTTTCTGACAAACAAGTTGAAAAAACACAAATTTCAACAGTCTCCTTCAAAGTCATCATTTCGTAAGTTCTATGGTAGATACAAAGACCTTGTCAGCAAATACAAAATGATTAAGTGTAAAGCTGACTGGCATTTTCATATTAAATGTTAGACCATTATTTACACACTTAATTGTCTGCGGATTTTACCGTTATTTCCCGATCAAGACAAGGAACACACTGCGGGTGTGACCGGTCGGCAAGGAATGCTCATTCCTCCATGGCACTTGATCCCACACATGATGTTTTAGCGATTTTTGCTCTGCTTCGTATTTGTTTTGTTTGAATGGACTTTTGAGTTTAAATACTGTCATTATCGTTGTATTTCATTTCAAGGTTAGGGGGATTATAATACCAAAAAAGTATAACTTTAAAATTATGCTAACACTTAAAGAGTACTGGGTACCAGGTCATTCAGAAAACTTGATTATGATTACACATGACATGTATTTCAAGTATCAATTAATGAATGATTGAACGATACTTCCACACAACAGATGTATAGTTTATATCATTAAAACTTTTATAAGAGTTTCCTGTTTTTATTATGTTCTCTTTTTTTGGTTTAAGGGGATGTACTTCTACCTTAAATGACATCATTTGTTTTAATTTGCGAGCATTTGTATAGTTTCCTTATTTCCATTTCAGGAATCTTGTTCATGAAAATAATGTTCTTCTTCTGAGGGCCATTTTTGCAAAGGCAAATTTTTTTCATGTAGCTTGTAACATACATTTTATAATGAAGCTGATTTTTGTTTGCCTTGCTCTTGCATATTTCAGCGCGAAAATATAAGGGAGGTTACAGCATCATGATTTTATCATGGTCTTTTCTATTTTCCGGACTAGTAATATACTATTTCTTGATAAACTGAGCCTTTTGCATTGTTCATCAAAACAGTTTTCTTTTCTTAAATTTAAGAGTGTTTATTAATGACTTTGTAATTTGCCTCAACTTTATGACGAAATTCTTTGAGGATTTTCTTGAAGGTAACATAATAGAGGATGAAGGTTGTCAACGTTAGCTTTACTAATGCAGCTGCTGTGAAACGCTGAGTTTGTCATTCACTCAAATTCCACACAATTTGCAGTTTGCATTAGACTGTTGTTCAAAAACTCTGAAAAAGCATTTGACATCACATTTATGCTTGATGGAGATAATCTTTGTGGAGAACCTAAAAGTATTCTTTTGTCTGCAATATAAATTTTTCAATAGTTGCTTTAATGTTTTGTTTATCATAAAATTAAGATGGTTTGTTTACATCCTAGAGATGAACCCAAGACCCTGGTGGGACACCATTCTTCTCCAGAAATCCATGATATACGTATGCATTGGAAGCTCAGACATCAAAATGGACACTACTTGATTTCATGGCTGCGTCAATATCAATGCCACTGCCATCGTGTAGCAACAATGGGTTGCTTTAAAAATGCCGTCAGTTCATCAAAGAAAGATCGATGAGGTTTAGATCTTTGAGCACAATATTGAAATCAGAACGGATCTAAAGAAAAAATACACAAATCTGTGAAAATGGCTTTAAAGACGACCTTCACTTATTTCAGAGGTGAGATCAAACTAGTCGAGGGTCTTAACCAGCTGATCTGATCAGGTATACGGGACATTTCGAAGACATAGGAGGATTGCACTCGATACTAGGTCCTGATTTTTTTGGACGCTTTTGTTGCTTTTATATCTTACCCTAATTTCGCTTTGGTTTACTAGCATTTATATTTAATTATTATATTGCTTGTCACATTGGAGCCAAAATGAATGAAATGTGAAAATGATCTAAGACTTTGTGATGCAAAAAAATATTTCTACTTTTTTCCTTACTGTTCTCCTCGGCGTATATAGAAAAAATAGTCTTGTATACCTGCATGCCATTGATTGGTTTTTAAGATGATAAAAATATCCGTGAGAGGTGGAGCTAACAATGTGAGAATGAGTCTAGGCCTATATTTAGACTATCATAAATAATGATAATCGTAGGTATTGGAAAAAAATGAGCTATCTCCCACCCCATCTCCCTCTTTATTCTTTGTAGAACAAGTCTTCTATTGCAAAGATTTCAAATCGAAATTGTGATATTATAAACATAGCCACATCCACATACTAATGCAATTGTGATTTAGATTAAGATACGAGGTGTGGGCCCATTCAAAAGTTAAAGAATAGAATAGTGTCGTGAATAAATTGACAATAAGCAGGAAATTGTTATCGTTTTTTGTTTTCCTTTCGATTTTTTTTTTTCACTCATATTGAGACGCAACTACTTGTCGGAAGGGGATTGCTAATCTAGACATGTTTTCAGTGCTTACTGCCTTTGTTTTCGATCATTCCACCCCAAACCAATTAGATCCGAAAATCGGGGAAACGCAGTTCTTTTAAGTGGCTTGTTTCTCAGCATGTAGCTCATATGATACCTTGTCATCTTCTTAGTTCAACGATGGAAATGATTTAAATGATAATTCTAAAATTTCAAAATAGTAACTACGTGAATAAAAGGAGAATTCTCACTCCTCCATGGCACCTGATTCAACCTCTGATGTTCTGGAGGTCCGTGTTTGCTCTGCTCCTATTTTGTATTGTTTTAAATGGACTTATGATCTTGTATACTGTTCGTTATCTCCATATGTTTCATTAGATCAAATATTGATCATGATACTAATGAAATTTCAAGACTAGGGATATTTGAGGTTTGGTATAAAGGGAATTAATTATTCTAACACTTAAAGGGTACGGCGATGCAGGATATTGATATAACTATAAGTATGCACAATATACATATTCGTAATCAATTGCACACTTTAATTACAATTATACAATCACGTGAAATTTTTCTAATTAGAGTAAACAGGAAAGTGAACGCGATGATAAGTACTTGTAATATCAATAATAATACTTTTTCCTAATTGTGGTTTTAAGCGGAAATTCTTAATGAAGAAAAGTGTAAACAACTTAAAAATGAAAACTATTCAATTTAAACATACACTGTATATATTAGTTAGAGAGGAAGTAAGATTCCTTGCCTCGTTTTATACGGTTTCATCCGAAGGACAAAGTCTCTGCGTCCTGCATTGGGATTCGAACTTGCGATGTAAGGAACAATCCTTACTCCGTGATTCTAAAGCAAACGCTCTAACCACTGCGCCACGTTGACGACAGAATCAATTTAAATAAGGTAAAAATTATTACATTGCGCTTAACCAACAACTCTGAAATTTGAAAAAGCAGATCTAGAACTTTACCATTTGACACAAAGGTTGCTGATAAATCAAACTGAAGGTATTTCCTAAGCCTGATCCAGAATAATTTGAATAAAGTCAAGGTCTTTTTTTTTAACATAAAAAAAAGCACATTAAAAGATTATAATGGACACAAAGGACTCAATTTTATTTATTTATACTGCGTTCAAACAAATTAAAAGTCTTTAAAATTATATATTAATTATATCTAAATATCTTTTCAATCCAATTTTTGCTAATGCTGAGCAAGGTTAAGCTGGAAGTATTTTACATCATATACTAGAATTTCCTTCATTGATCACATGATTTTTTATTTATTACTCATCATCTCTGGTTTTAAATTTTAGTCTGGTGCTGAAAATGGCAGGAGCAGCAGCTACTTTGGCAATTTTCATTATTGTGCTTACTAAAGCTGAAAACAGTATTTCAGCAATAGGTAATCTTTACCATCTTTGAAACTTTATGGGGAAAAAACCAAATTTTAAATGGAAAGCAACTTTTTAATTCTGATATCACTGTAGGTGGCAAGGCTATATCATATCTTAAATTTATTTGAGAATGTTTTCTTCGTTTCTTTTTGAATTCATGAAAATATGCAGTACATGTATTTAAAGAGGCTGGGTGGTCGTGGCCATTTTTAAACTTTTTTGATCTCCTTTAGAAGAAGGGCTCCATATAAAGATGTAATAAAATGATCAAATTTTAAAACTAAAATTTTTGAAATTTTTCTTTGCCAAATGATAGTTGACAGATCAAGATATCATATCTAAAAAAAAATTATATCTGGTGGTTGATAAAAAAAAATAATCTGTTGACCCCCTAGCCTCCTTAAATATATATATTCTTTATACTAAGACAACAGCGCTGAAAGTCCCTACGATGTCGGAGAACATTGTGTGTGTTCAGGAGGATCTTGCAATTGTTGTCGAAATGTGACCCTTAGGGCCTTCCAAACGAACCATTATGGTATGTTATTAATGTCTTGTAGGAAATTATACAATGTCATTTAAGATTTAAGTGCGTTGTATTTGGAACAAATCAAAACACACTTTTTTTTATTTTGAATGCTCACAGTTTGCAGCAAATTCCAGTACGACAAAACGAAGCAAATGTTTGCAACCAAATTAGAAATTGATGCTAAAACTGCAATAGAACAAGATGTGCCAGGTAATGCAGATAGAAAAGTACCAAAGATACTCTTTGCTCTTGACTACGAACTGAAACATTGAAGTTTCATTTCTTCGTGTTTTTGATTGTTTTTCAGTGAACAGTTCACAACCAGTATGCAAGGAAGTTCAAATCGGAAGCAACAAAACAAAAGTATGTTTCCATTTCCGCCATGTCAATGTCAGCGGAAACAGTGTGTCTGGCTGTGTGCGCACCACCATCAAAGCTGGGGAAGTGAGGCAGTCGGTGAGTTTGGGATGTTTTAAGCTGTCCGTCGCATACAAGCAAGCAAGTCACATGATGCTCCATAGACTGGTGAGGATCTGGCAGAAAGAAATTCTCGTCAAGCTTTTCAACATTGATATTAAAGATGGGAAAATGAAAGCAAAATATATCCTAAATAACTAGACTTTGGGTTTGAAATTGGCAAATTGCATGCACATGTATCATTGTTTGATGTGCATTTAGCCTTTTACAGAACAGGGGATGAAAAGGTGAAAAATTCGAATTGTAAATCTGTTTCTGTTATTAGCATACCTGCCAAATAATTTATTTATCAAAGATGGTTCTACGGTAAGACCGTAGTTATTTTAGTAATATTTCCATCATCTCAAATAACACTAACTAATTTTATTATGAATATTTTTTTCACTGGGATCACATTTATCTTTTTTACTAAAATTTGAATCATCTTCAACAAAACCATTTTTTTTTTATTCAGTAAATAATTCATATTTTTAAACACAGTTCTAGTTTTTGAAGCTGCCTTGAATTAAAGAGCAGTTTTATTGTTTCTGTTTAATATAGTTATCATTATGTATCCTGATTAAAAATTATGATGAATTCTCTGAATTTGATTTAATGTTAAATGGTAGTCCTAATCATGGACTTGATATTAATATACAAATATTTGAAGCTGTACATATAATTATTAAATCAGCAAAACGATAAATACGAGGGTTGTTCGAAAAGTTCGGGGACGATGTTAATCATCTTTATATTACTCACTAGAAATTTAAAATAAGCACATCATAATATGTAAAAATATTTGTTTTGTTGATGTGTGAAGTTTCATTTCATTCGATTTAACAAAAATCAAATTACTTCATTTTAGAATCAACATGTTTTGTGCCCGCGGAGCACACATTTTGATTTTTTTATACATTTCACACAGTATAATATAGTACCCATTCATTAAATCCTTTTTCTAATACTTGACATTTATTTTTTAAGAATTTCCTCTCGTTGTATAATTTCCTTTGTTAAGGTTTTAATTTCTTTTATAACTTAACTCTGTTTTCACATGATAAGCAACTCTGAAGCGCCTATATCTTTCCTTGACGTTCCAACTTTTTAAAGTTTTGTTAAGATCTTTACTGTTAAACCGTTTCTTCACAGATCATCCTCATCCGATACAGAGTCTCTGTCACTCAAATACTGCCTGTACTAATGGTACACATGCATAATTTGTTCGAGACATATTTTTTTGATTCCTCAAACGTTTTTAAAGTTTATTCAGGATTTTTCCCGAGTAAAACACAAAATTGAATTGTTATCCGCTGCTCCGTGACGTTCTAAAACGTCATCTTTTCGTCGTTTTCAATAAGGTCTACCTATATTTCCACGTTGATTTCTTTCCAACAAAGCAAAATATAAAACCGTAGTTTGGAACATAAATAGATGTACCAATTCTTAATTTGAATTTTTAGGTTGTTTTTTCGTTTTTGCTCCATTTTACAGAGAATATGACTATAGACATTATTTAGAGCACTGTCTGTAACTTACTAAATTTTGACCTGCTCCGCGATCAGATTTTTGCATTTTTAAAATCCTGATAAGTTTTTAATAAATCGTAATATTATGAAAAAAATTAATACAAATCATTTGGATTTATTGTTAAAATATTTCTACCAAATTTGGATAACATATGACGTCAAATAAAAAAGATATGACAGTTGTCCACGAACTTTTCGAACAACCCTCGTACAAGCTCTGTCATATAAAAATATTTAGGATATTGTAATATTTTTGATTTTTTCCTATCCGGTAGTACTTTGTACATATGAATATTTTTTCTGTATTTTTCCTTTGTTACTTTTTTCATTGTTTTCTTCTTTTGTACATTCTTACTTTTTTGCTACTATTATTAATTTATTATGTATTAAGCTTAACAATTTTCTGTCCAATCTTGTTCACTTTTAGATGTATGAATGAAATATGAATACTGTTCCCTTTACCGATTACGTCATCATGATTCTCATCACATTACTATCTGTAACCGTCTTCAGAAAGGAAAGGATCGGAAGCCTACTTAGAGAATTACTAAAATTACTAAAATTCTAAAATACTTAAGTACTTGATAAAATAATTAAACAGAAGTTTGGTATAAGAGGAGTTGTGGATAAGAGATGGGTACACCAAAGCGTGGCAGGTGGATGGAAGTACTGACAGACAGACGAACATCCCGATCACAATATCCCTCTCACTTTAAAGCGGGAGTAAAATGATCATTTAAACCCTATTTTGTGTTTACACTATCATGATTTCATACACGACTAGTTCATATAGGAATTTTTTTAGTTGCCTGCGTGAAGCAGTGGCTAGAGTGTCTGTTCAGAGTCGCGAAGTAAGAAGTTGATCCTAACGTCACGGGTTCGAATACAACTGTATGGTATGTGATGACTGGACCTTCAGATGAGATTGTATAAACCGAAGTCCCGTGTCTCAGTAGGTGCCGGTACGTAAAAGATCCCTTCTGTTCAATGGCCGTAAGTGTATACGACAAAAATTGCAGCTCTCCAACGGCAAGTGGTGGCGTCTCCCTATGAGTGAAAAGTTCTCAAGTAGGACGTTAAAAAACAAACTAGAGGTAATGATTCCCCCCGCTTCCCATATGATTATAATAGCAAAATACATGTTTTCCTCTTAGAAACCCGAAATGTCAAATCAAAAATTAAAACAGGAGCTGCACGATGGCATTATGTAAAAAAGAATCTGTGAAAGTATCAAAAAATTTATTCAGTAGTATAGGAGGAGTTGCGGATAAGAGATGGTACCCTTCAATATCATAGAAAGAATGACAGGTCAATGTTTCGCTATGGGAAACCCCAAATATGTGTCCGATCAAAAAGTAAAACAGGAGCTGCACGATGGCATTATGTAACAAAGAATCTGTGAAAGTATCATAAAATTTTATTCAGTAGTATAGGACGAGTTGCAGATAAGAGATGGTACCCTTCAATATCATAGAAAGAATAACAGGTCAATGTTTCGCTATGGGAATCCCGAAATATGTGTCAGATTAGAAAAAAATAAAAAAGGAGGTGTACAGTGGCAATAGTAACAATAACAAACATTCTGTGAAAGTCTCATTAAATTTTATTCAGAGATATAGGAGGAGTTGCGGATAAGAGACGGGTACCCCAAAGCGTAACAGTTTGGAGATTTTTAAAAAAGTATTAACTAATGTGATAAAAATGTTCGCTTTTTTGTCCAAGACCATAAGTCAGAACTTTTTCAGTTTGTTCACTCATCTTCTTAGTCACTTTTAGGGAAACGCCGTGATTTTTCATATAAACTTTCCTGATATACAAGTTATTTAATTTTATTGCATGTTGTCGTTTTGTGAAACCTCTACATGCATTTCTGAAAAGTCGAGTGTTACTATGTTATAATCTTGTAGGTATGTCTTATTCCTAATTTATTTCAACTCATCTGACTGTTTAATTCTCAAGTTTGTTCCTGGTTATCGAACAGCTGGGTAAAAACAGGTGTCTTAGGAATTCTTTAAGGAAGCATTTTAATGACTTATAATGACGAACGTGTTACAATGATTCTTGTCACGTTCATGTTTTTTTCCAAACAGAATATGTGATGTTATTTCTGAAAAATGCCCCATATGTTTCTTTATTCAAAAAAGGTTTATCATCATACCCCAGGCCCCGCTTTAAAAGCAGGGGTTATTTAAATGATAGGAGTCTTCTTCCGTTTGTATTCCGTCTGTCCGACCGTTCCGCTTTGGGTTACCCATCTCCAGTCCGCAACCTTTCTTATACCAATGAATGAAATTTTGAGACTTTCACAGAATCTTTGTTACATATTGCCATTGTGAACCTCTTATTTTATTTTTTCATCAGACACATATTTTGGGTTTCCCATAGCAAAACATAGGGGGTTACCCATCTTTTATCCGCAACTTCTCTTATACCAATGAATGAAATTTTATGAGACTTTCACAGAATCTTTGTTACATATTGTCACTATGAATCTCTTATATTACTATTAGATCAGACACATACTTTGGGTTTTCCATAGCAAAACATAGAGTGGCAGTGACCATGTTTTGCTGCATTGTATAGGGAACCCGAAAAATGTATCTGATCAAAAAGTAAAATAGGAGGTACCCCAAAGCGTAACAGACGGACGGACGGATGTACATACAGATGAACAATCACCCCGTTTCTATATACCCCATGCTTTTCAAGCGGGGGAGGGTATAAAAAACGTTCAACCTTTATATTCAGCAATGAGTTATCAAATTTTAAACCAATTCCTTCACATTAAAGTGAAGGAGTTTACTTTTATCCCAGCTTGCAAAGTAAATAATTGAAAACGTTAACAAGTTTATTTTTTTCCTAAGACAACAAAATAATCGCCTGATAAAGGTGACAAAGTACATATTGTAGATGATCTGTAATTTCCTTTCTTCTTCAAAAGAAGTTGATGTAAAGATAGGAATCTAAACAATTAAATTAGGCGGTTTTTCCAGATCTAAGCATCTTCTGATAATAAATCAGGGGTTGTTTCTATATCCATCTATCTTTCATCTAAGTACTAATAAACAATTGCTATACATTCATATCTGTCCATCTTTCAATATCCATAACAATATAAAGGTGTACTATCCATGTCCTTTAAGTTCTCATTTCCTGATAAAAACTGAGCAATAAAAATCTGTTACTAAGATAAACTAAGTACAGTGTACTTAAACAGTTCGACTTGATGATTGCTATAGATAGATAGCCAATATTAAAACAAATTAAATTAGAAGGGGGAGTTAGAAAGAAGAAATGTATTTTATTTTACAATGAATAATTAAACTTTTTAAATATATATTTAAATGAATGTATAATTAAATTTTGAATTATCTATAAATAATAGGATTATCTATTTCTTTTCGAATATGAATCAGAGTTCTTACAAAGAGTTAATATAGCAAGTTTTTAAAGGCCTTAAAATGGTATACATATACATCGAATCAATATTTATGATTCGTCGTCAATTCAGTGTATAAATAATAGACTAGTAATAATTAGTACGAAAAACGTCAGACAGCATTTGACTCAATGTAGGGGGTTCAGGTAACCCGACTTACCTGTGTAATTGTGCTAATTACACGCAATTTATCGGTGTTTATAAACGTCTTTTTTGCATTATTATTCATATTAATCTAGAAACTAAATATAACGATTTTTTCTTCTTTGTTTGAACTTTCGTATGATGTGTGTGTTATGTCATTCTAATAAGTCTGTATTGAAAATTAACCGGGTCGAAGTTGTGCTAAAATTGGATACTGGGTTTCCCTTTTGATGCATGGCACTGTCATTTTGTCTCGGCGACCATGATAGCGTCATTTTGATTGGCTTTCCGGGAGGCGATTTTTAAGAAATTAACGACATTGACATATCACAGGAAAGCTTACATTTTGAAGATTAAGATTGTTATTGTTGCATCTTGATGCAATGTGCAGACGTTTATGTATTTTCGTTTCAAAGGAAAGAGGTCAATTTTACTACGGTAAGTAATCAAAATATTTTTATGCAACATACACTATTAGAAAGCTGAGAAAATTTCCTATCAGAAAATTGTGGTTCTGTAATCATTTCAGAAAATAATTCACCCGGATTTCATTCAAAAGACTCAACCCGACGCAACTTTTGAACAGTTTCTTAGTACCTTTAAATTCATGCACACTTTTGTATCGTAAAACCACAAGTGAAATAGAAAATGTGAGATTAAATAAGTTTAGACTTATTGGAATAAAGTCTATGAATTCGAAAACTATGGTCATTTCCTACTACATAACATATACAGGGGCCTATATATGCTAGTTAACGATCCCTGATATAAATGTACAAATTTGATTCTGCAGCCTGGATTTCCTCTGAATTCTGAAATATATACTGTCTGTATAATAAATGAATAACCCGAAGTTCAAATGTGATAAAAGAAAATATATATATTAATTGTTTTACTTATAACTATAAAATATTTATGATTTGTTTGTGCACATAATACTTTGTGGTTAATTTTTTTTTCAGTGAGTGTAAATACAGTTAGACTTCAGGAAAATGCTATAGAATCGTTCCATATCATGATTATGGTACCCGCCCGCGGCCGGTAGTAGCAGAAGTCTGAGAGAAACTTAACACTCAACTTGTCCAGGAAGCATGGATAAAATACACAATTATTGATTGAAACCGAAAATTTGATATGTATTTAAAGATCTATGTAAATTTAAAAATAAAGTTGTGAATTAATTGTAGTAAATTCTTTTTCTTGTTTTTTTTTTTTTTTTTTTTTTTTTTGCTATTTTCATATTATTGGTATCTTTCTTGAAGTTTCTTCTTTACTTACCTTTAGTGACCATATTTTATTACGATCCTTATTTTAATAAGTCTTTTAAAAGTAATAAATTGTAAATAATTCATAAAATTTCATTATTTATTCTTAACTCACCTGATTTTGAAAGTATGCTTTCAATAAGACTGTATCGGCCATTTTTACTATTGGCGGCCATATTGGATATTTTGCCGCCATCTTGGATATTTTTTAGCTGACATGAAAACAGAAAATTAGGGCTTGCATAGACCTTTCCGAAAATATATAGTTTGCCCTACTTCTAGATAAAATTAGACTCTATCTCTTAAAAAATACCTAGATTTAACGGATTTTTCTTCTTTCATGTGCCATCATTTAATGCTCGTATGTATAGAAATTTCCTTACATAAAATAGCAGTACTCACAACATTGATTGTTTCATAACTTCTGTTCTACTTGGAATTTTTTCACCAAGTAAAGTTTTTTATATTTCTTAATGTTTCCATGTTTGTGCTAGAATATATTTAATTGAAAATATTTCACCGAAAATTTATACCTGAACCCCCTACTCAATGCCGGATAAATTGTATTTGCTGAAAAGTTCATTGCATCGACCAATTGAAGACCCCACCCATTGGCAACGGACATTTTTTCACGTTTAAGTTTTTGCATAAATTCTGCTTTATATGAATATTTAAATGTATGCTCTAATGAGTCTTAAAGGGGCGCAAAAAGTACCCATCAGGATGTCCTCAGTTTGTAAGAAGACGATCTTCGAAAGATGTGACAAGTCAAAAGAGAATGCTTGTTAATAACATCCTAAGCTACCTCTAGTTCATTACTGGTATTCGTAGGTTTATCTAGCCTTAACTTTTATGGGAATGTGAAAAATAATCATGTCCATAAATAACAAAATGTAATAAGTACAAAGAAAATTACATTTTAACGTTGAAAATAAAACACGTGATTACATTTTACAACCACCTAATATTTACTTTCTTTTATACTGATTTCTGAATATTAGAAAACTGTGGTTAGTATGGATGTCTGCGGGTGACATGTTTCCTTGGATTCTTACCTACCCTCTTATAACTAATCATATCAGGAATTAATTGTTTAATAAAGTCTATGAAGATAAGCCCCTTTGTTGACATTCCAGTAAATATTTTGTTTTGAAACCCAACGGACTCTAGAAGGAAGGTTTTATTTGATGACACCCTTTCAGACTTCAGATCTGTTTTTATTTCGTCCGATAACCGTAAGACCTCTTTAATTTATTGCCGGATTATTGAAATTAAATACCGATGGGTCTATGTGTTCTTGGTATATGATCTTCGTCTTAGCTCGTGTTTGCTCACCAGGGTCTGGGAGTGACGTGTCGATATTTGTCGTAACAATCAATCCTGCAAAAGATATCAGTCCCGTATTTGTAGAACACTGATAGGTATGAATTTATCAAAACTAGGAATAAATACCAACTTCCAATCTGTAAATTCATGCGGAGAAAACTAATCGATCTATTTATTTTGGACTTGACAAACTTCATTGTTATGCAGAGTTAAGCTCAGATTGGCTAAACTGCTATCTACGGGTAAGGCGTTAAAAAGGGGTTAAACATATTTTGAGTGCTGGTTATTAGATTGAGAAATGCATCGGAATTTGGGCGTGTTTTCAATCCGGAAGGACTTGTTTCGGGTATATCAATACGTAACCAATATTTGAGAGCTGATTCTGGAAACTGTCCTCCAACATGGCGAGACTAATGATACTTTACGTTTACTTTTGTCTAAATATTGTGAATTACGCTTCAGGGCATGGAAGGCTGTGGGAGCCCCCGGCAAGAAGTACCATGTGGAGAAGGGGGTTTCATACCAACCATAACTACGACGACAATGCTTTATTCTGCGGAGGATTTTCGGTAAATAATTATTGACCATGGATTCGTAAAATCATACATAATTAAATACTCTTAGAGTCATCTCCGTTAATTTTTTAAACATATAAATTGACGCAAGATAAATAATTTTGAAGTAAATAATTGTAATATGTCCAGAATTTGAAAGAATGATAACTAATACATTTGGGTGAAATCTCACTTAAAAACAATTAAATTCCAATTATATATTTTGTAAAATAGATTATTTAAGTAAAGATATTGCATAGAATTATTGCAACTGATCAGGGCAATTTTAACGGCTCCATGTTCTCATGATGAGTTCATATACATTTGGTCTGCTCTTTTATTTTTAATTTGAATTTTTTTTTCTCTCTTTTTTAACACATTTCTTCTCCATTTTGAAAATCAATGCATGCAACTTCAAATTGCAACATACATGTTAGCAAACTCCTGTGACAGAAAGACGAGAAGAAAATAAAGAAATTTTTTTAAATTTAAAATTCATAATTAACCCATCATGCCATTTGAATATATTCTAATTGTTGAAAAATGTGATATTGCGTACCAAGAGAAATTGTATAAAGTATACGGTTGTAAATATTATAAATAAAGATTTATTTATGGTTTATTTTGGTTTGAAAAAAAGTAGAATATTTAACGAAAATGAGTTTAACTTTTATTTTATTTATACCTCTTCAAATATGTTAACCTTGTTTTTCTTGGTTAACATAATCAAAAACATCCTCTCTGGGTGTATTTTATAAAGAGGCTAAATAATTAAATTTCTTTACTGATATTTGACATGTTATTAAAATAAGTTTTAAGCCATTTTTTCTACCGTCTCTTTAAATTAAATTAAATAAAATTGTGAAAACTGTCTTGACTTAAGTTTTCACATGTCGCCTGGAGATAGTGTGCCTCAGTTGCTGAGAAATATAAGGAGATTATATTCAATAAGCATTAAAACTAAATGATTTACTGAAACATGTACAAAATCGAAAATACGAGTAATCTTTGATCACAGGACTCTATGGGACTATGAACGTGACGTAATAAACAGATGATGCAACCAGAATTTACATTATACTAGAATGTATTAATCAAGGTTCTGGAGGAGAAAAAAACGTGAAAAAGAAATAAATGTAACTGAGCGCTTACAAATGTTTTTTTTTAAAGATATCTTTAAAAAAAATTGATAATATTAACCGTTAAAGCTTGCAAAAAATTTAACAGTCAAACTAAATAATTTGTATATTTTTTTAAATGAAAAAAGAGTTATACGCAGTATATAGAAATTTCAATTTTTCTTTCATACAAGATAATTCTAGTTTTTAAGGCTTTGTCGAACTATACCGAGATAAAACCCTGATATCAATTGTCAGGCTCCGGCAACGAACCCAAGTTCAAGTGTACACTTCAAATTTTTTGTTTTATTTTAAAAAAAAAACCTTTTTAGTCTATATTGTTTATGTTTGTTTTTTTTTTGTCAAGATTAGGATTATTTAAGGCGTGTCTTCAAGTTTATGCAGGTTTGTTTTGACCCAATCAAGTACCCACAGCGTACCATGCAAAGAAGTTTGCACCAGTGCATCGCGCGCATAAGTTTGTTCTTAATCGAAGTCTTGTTCTCGGACCAAATATTTGGGCAACACACATGATTCATATCATGTTCTGCAAACACAGTGAATATTGTAAACGCTATTTTATTTAGGTACGGTGTCGTAACAACCGACTGATGCCTAGGGGGGAAACTGGCCAGGAAATGATTCTGTTTTTCCATGTTTTGGCATTAATCCTCGCGTCTGTTGCACCAAATTCACCCATTATTTGACCAAACATGGAAGTGTGTCAATTCCATGTGTCAAAAAGAGAGAGAGAGGGAGAGTCAAACTTTACAAAAAAGTTAACAATTTTAAAAGTTGACTTTGATTTCCGGGTTGCGTTTTAATTTAAAAATTCGTCTAATTTACAAGTATTGATGCTGTTTTTTTTTTAAAATCTATTCAATGCTTTTTGAAATTATATTCTATAATAATTTATTTAGCTACCATATAGTTTTATTGGGAAAAGAGAACATTTTTAATAGAAGTTGGAAACTTTTTCATATTATTTACTTTGTTGTAACATCGGACTTCACCACCACCCCCCTAAATTACGCGAATTTGGGTCAGAAAATTTGAGAAAGCTGCAAGCATTAGGTTCTTCTTCATAACCTTACCACTCGTAAAATCCCGACAGGTTCCCAACATCTAACTGTTTGAAAATGTTGCGATTGCATATTATTATTAGGCGAAATATTAGCTTGATTCTGATGAGGTATCGGTAAATATTTGTCAAATTTAGATACTCTTATACTATTACAGAATACAGGATTACTCAAGGTCGCCGTTTAAACAAAGAATTGCTAATACGTCACTTTTTTGGCAGTTTATCACAGTGCTATTATTCTTAAACAAAATATTTTGCAAATCGAATGCTAAAATTTTCCACAATGATTCAATATTTTACAATATAAATGATTCTTTATTTTTGAAAACAATTGATTTAAGTTCGTCTTTATTTATATATATTTTGTTTTAAATCAGGTACAGATGCTGAACGGTGGAAAGTGTGGGATTTGTGGCGACCCCTACAATGCACCGCAGCCACGTGATCACGAGGCAGGGGGAAAGTATGCTTCCGGTATCATAACGAGACACTATACTGAGGGGCAGCTAATTGACGTTCACGTAGATATTACAGCAAACCATAAGGGGTGGTTTGAGTTCCGTCTTTGTCCAAATAACGACGTTAAAAAAATTGCAACACAGACTTGCTTCGATAAAAATCTGCTAATGTTTGCCAATAATTCAACAAGGTAAAAATATAATTTTTTTCTTGTTCATTAAAATACATCACTTTCACCTAGCATCCATGGATGTCGATGGGGCACCTTCAAAGACTTATCCACCACTGCCATCCATAATTCTCTGTTTTCTGTCACTCTCTGGGATTCTGCAAGGCTCAGTCCAGTCCACTCAAGAATGCTATCTGTACCTATTCTTTTGTCTTCCCTATCTTCACCACCTTTAACTGCCCCTTGCAGGATTGTGTCTGCAAGGCCACTTGAGTTTGAAATGTGGTCATACTTACATTGTCCCTTGACAGTGAGGAGATCAGGAGGTTGTCTTTGTCCTGTGGACATCTTCATTGGTCACACTGTCAGTGTATTGGATGCCTACTATTTTCCTATAAATCTCATCTCGGTGCTCACAATCCTCTTCGCGAGCTATGCAGAGAGAGTCCATGTTTCACAGGTATACAGGAAGACTGATTTGCTAAGGGAACACATTAGCTGGAGTGATATTTCTGTCTCTTTAAATGGTTTTTAATTTCGCTAATGCTGCAGTTGTTTGTGCAATCCTTGCTATAATTTCTGGTTTGGAATCTTATCCATCTGATATGATGGATCCGAGGTACTTAAGTGTCTTCACTGTTTCCAGACATGTTCCGCTGACCATGACTTTTGAGGTGATGCCTTGAGCGTTGTTGGTCTTCAGCTTAATTTTTTCTGGACTGATATCCATGCCATATGCAGAGACTGCTAGGTCAAGGCGATTCACCAAGTTGGTTAGCTCAGTCTCTTTCCCTGCAAGGTCATCTATGTCAGCAACGAACATGGCAGATTTGTGACGGCTCTTCCTCCGATGGAGACTGTGCCTTTGTGATCATCGAGAGCATCTTCCATAATCCTTTTAAGGGGTTAAAGAGGGTGGGAGAAAGCAGGCAGCCGTGGCGTACTCCTACTGTTGTGTGGAACCAGTCACCAATGCTATTATTCAAGTGAATTGGACTAGTGGCCTTGTTGTATAACTCTTCGATCACTCGAACAAGGTTGGCATTGATGTTGTATTTCCTCATGGTAGTCCATAAGGCAGCATGCTACATATGATAAAGGTCTAGCTGGTGTTGTTGGTACTTCTTGCAGATTATTCGTAGATTAGATATCTGTTCGGTGGTACTTCTTCCTGTTCTAAATTAAATAAGGAATTAAAATAAAGATATGGAGATAACGAACAGTATTCAATATCAAAGTCCATAAAACAATATGTACAAAATAGGAGCAGAGCAAACACGGACCTCCGAAACATCATAGGTGGGATCAGGTGCCATGGAGGAGTGAGCATCCCCTGCTGACCGGTCACACCCGCCGTGTGCTCATTGTCATGATTGTGAAATACTGAGTAACGGGAAAATCCGTTGTCAATTCAGTGTATAAAAATGGACTAACAATTGGTATGAAAAACGTCAGTCAGCATTTGACTCAATGATAAATTGTATTTGCTGACAAGGTTATTGTATCGACCATAGAACTTACGAAAAATGATGCCTTTAAATGAGACTGCTAATATTGTTGTTTCATCAACTTGCTTGTCAATATTTTACCTCGTTTTAGAAATTGTTCATACGTAGAGCATGCTCTTGCGTGTCGAATCAACTGAGATATATACACTCCGTATGTAGGTGATGAAGGTATATTGCTGCATAAGTAAGGGAAGTTGACGATAGAAAAGTTAAAGTCGTCTCTTTTATCATATAACTTGGTTGTTAGCTTACCATTAACGTCTTTTTTCAAGTAAAATATCCAAGTATGAAACAGATGTGTGATATCTTTTATCTCAAGCTCTCCTGGATATATCGTATCGACGTAGTAATGGAAAATACCATTGTTCTTTGATAATACGTCGTCGATATATCTGAAGGTCGAGTTGAAGGCCACAGCAAGTGTTTTCTTCTTTTCCTGCATAATACATAGAGAATTGAAATACTAGAATTTTTGTACATGTATAGGCAGTGTATAGATTTAGACCAATACACAACTAAATCCAGTTCCTTGCAAACATGTTTGATGTTATATTTATGAGTTCTCTTCTTTACCTATTTTTTAAAATAAAAATGCATCATCCGAGATTTAATATTTTCTTTTTATGTACTTTTTGGGGTTTATCATTTATATATTTATATATTTATTTATAATTTTTTGTTTATATTGATCTATTTTATTCTCCAAGAAAAGCTTGATTCATGCAAAATATTCTGTGATTAATTTCTACTTCTGTGTTTTTATTGAAGGATGCACATATCTACGGCTGTTGGCATGCACCATGCTCAGTTACGGCTACCACCCGGTCTGACGTGTACTCAGTGCATCTTACAATGGAAATACCACACAGGTTAATTAAAATATGCTTATAATCCTATACATCAAGTATTTAAAAGTTGATTTTCAATTAACATTTGCCTATCGGTTTCTGTTATCAAAGTTTTTTGTTAGTATCTAATACTTTATCTTTAAAAAATGTTGCACCAAGACGTCGACGCGTCATGAAAATCGAAACGACACTGAAAAATTTCTTTTTCATAGAGATTGATGTTAATTTGTTATCACAACTTGATTCTACAAAATGCCTGAATGTTAAATGATGATTTAAGCAGATATCGATTTTTTCATAAAAGTGCATATATGCAACTGAGAAAAATTATGCTGTTTTAAAATAAAAATAATTTTGATTAAAGGAAACAGTTGGGGTGTTGATCCAACGGGAAAAGGATGCATAGGGTGTGGATCTCAGGAGGAATTTTATGGCTGTTCCGATATAGCAATAGAAAGCAAGAGCGGGAACCCAGTGAATGCTGCTACAAGCGCAAAAACCACAACGACAAAACGACCGACAACAACAACAACGACAAAACAACCTACAACAACAACGACGACGAAACAACCAACAACGACAACGAAAAGCACCACAACTCCGACAACGACAACTAAAACCACAACTACAACAAAAGCCACAACGACAAAACCAACGACTACCACAACTTCAACGACGACAACAACGACACAAAAACCAAAAGCAACGACAACAAAACCTACGCCGCCTTCCTCTACAACTGCTGCTTCTAATGGCAGCGGTGCTCGTCCTGTTCCCGGGGGAATGAGCCGCAAAAAGAAGTGTGGACCCACTACGGTCTGGAAGAAGACCCCGGGTATGCAGCAGTGGTGTGAGACGAACTGTCGGATGGGATATTGCCCCGCCTCACACTGTGTTTGTGTTTAAACTCTTGCTAAAACGCGTCCGCCAAATGTTATTTTTGTTGATTATTTTTTTTCTAAATAAATACATTTAAAAGTTGTAAATACAGTTTTAAATCTTTCATTTTAATTGTACCCTTTATCGAATGAATATTACAAGGGTTTTATATATATTCTTGTTGAAACCAAAAAAAAAAACAATGGTAAAAGGTAAGTTACTCTCGATATACGAGACCAAGTGCTGGGCATTGGCACTATTGCGATATCTACAGACAATAATTCTTGGTAAATCTGTATCACAACTCACATCGGTGGTTGACAGTTGATATGAGATGTGATACAAATTTTGGTCCTTGTTGGTGTTTCTGTTAGATATTATGATTTTAAGACTTCAGAGTAACATCCATGTTTACATTGGAATCATATGTTGTTTTTATAAATCATTGAACGTATCTCTCCTTTGGTTGAATTACCTGTTTTTCATCAATATAACGGAGGACGAAAATTTCCCTGTATACTGTATATTATCTAAGTATGGAGAAAATTTTCTCGATGAAGAGAGGGGTTTAAAATATTTTCTCATTCAAAATTTATTGTGTGTGTGTTTTTTTTTTTATTTTTTTTTTATAAAATTATCTAATCCCGCCTTTTTCTCCCAACTCTCAGGTGGGCGAATAAAAAAAAGGTGGTTTCAAAGAACAAAATATATTTTCTTAAACAGAAAATAACCCTTTTCACAGTAACATTAATATTATAGCACTAAGTTCACATTCCTATCATTGTTTAGTAATAAACAAATGCATCATACTTCTCATAATAACATGGCGTATTTTTATGCTTTTGTAATCGAAGATTCGAGGGTAAATAGTTTTTGCCATGTCCGTCCGTCTGTCTAGCTGTCTATCTATCTGTCTGTTTGTCTGTCTGTGAAAACTTTAACCTTGTCCTAACTTTTGAGTGGGTGGGGGCTAAGGTTTCATATCTCACATGTGTATTCCTTGTGACAAAACCTTAATTTATGAGCAATGTACAAGATTTTGCGGACAGACAAACAGACGGACTAACAAGACAAAAACTATATATTCCCGAATCTTCGATTACGGGGGCATAAAATAATACACGTACATTCACGTTTTCTATTATTATTCTATCCGACCCGAATTCTGTCTTAAAGTTAAGCTTCCTTTGTTTATATGTAGCTAAATTCTTGGAGAATTCCTACGTACCCACATTTCCTGAATTTCCTATTATTTTTAGCCAAACTTCCTGGAGAACCCAATAACATGATAACGTGACTTCCTGAATATTCTAGTAATATAGCCAGGGTTCAGGAGGTGTTTTTAAAAGGGGGCTAACTTATTAAATACCTAAGATATCGTTTACTTTAGATTTTAAACATAATAGATATGATTAAAAGGGGGGGGGAAGATTTGGGTTTTGATGGTCGCAAGAAAGACATAAAACCCTAAATTCCTATAGGCGCCGGTATTCAATGCAGACCAACAGGAAGCAATGTAAGAAGGGGAGGACTGCCAAAAGAAGACATACATTATTATTATTGTTCTGAGTAATTCCCTTGGTCATAATTTTGTTAACTGGTTCATTAATTGTAAAATTTTAAAATATTCACAACCCTATTAATTTTCTTCATCGAGAGTCCTACAAAATAATCAAAGATCAAGTATTATTTTCACTAGAATTAGCAAAACAGAAGATTTCACTGGTTACACGTATGAGATGTTCCTGTAAAAATGTCATGTAAACTTACACTTTAGGAATATGATTCAAACGGAAATCTTGTCCCCCCCCCCCCCCCCTAAAATTTAACATATGGAGATAAGGATTCAAGATCAGAAATATATATTATAATACAAAATAGGAGCAGAGCAAACAGGGACTTGCAAAACTTCGGAGGTGGGATCAGGTGCCATGGCCTCATGGAGGAGGGAACAGCCCCTGACTACCGGTCACACCCGCCGTGTAGATGCCAGAGAGGAACACTCTCAAACTAAGGGGGTGACAATTACAGTTTCCCTCCCTAACATAAATATCCCTCCTTACAAATTTGTAAATATGTACATACAGTGAGCTAGATTCACTGCAACACATGAACTGCATTTAAATTATGATCATAGTTATATACCATATATGACATACAAAGTAGGTACCTTGTCTATTAGTCTCACTCGCCAATTTAGACCGTCATTGCAAACCGAGCCCACATAACGGACTTACAGTTCACATTTCGTAGTATTAATTTATATTTCTGGTTTGAAAATGTATTGAGATTTACAAAGATTGCTTACGCCCGCTCTGGAAACATAAAATAAATTTATATTCGCATTTATAGCTCAAGTTTTTCATTTGAAATTATTAATAGCGCCTAAAGCCTGGCAAAGGCCCACTCACAAAGTTCAAAGGAGTGGGGGAGGGGAGGAGGCTCATCAAATAAGCCTAAATGTGGTCAAGTAAATATCTGACAAGTCAAAAAATCAGAAAATCTTGTTTTAGTAGGATTTGGAGCTATCTCCTATATATTCAGGATTTATTTGCTATTCTTTTCCAAAAAATAGGATGGATCCAGGGCCAAAGGCGGATCCAGGGCAGGTGTAAAGACGAATAATGACCCCCATCGAATAATGACCGGGGGTCATTTTTCGACAGCGAAAAATGACCCCCAGTCAATATTCGACATCGAAAAATGACCCTTTTGCCCGTAGAAAAAGTGCCACCACCCTAAAAATTTGCAGAACCCACCCGAAGAAAAATGACCCCCGTAGAAAAATGACTCCCTGTGGATTAAAGCTGAAATTTTTAGGGGGCAAAAAAATAGAAAAAGAAGCATATTGGCCAAAATGCTCACCAGAGCTAATTGGGAATAAATTGATGATATGTTGGTCTCATAACATTATACAATCATAGCTATATTTTAAGGTCAATGCGATGATTCAGAATCTAAAGGATCAGTAAAAGAATTATCGAGCCTAAAGGGTTAGGTAAACATTGTTTTTCGATGGTGAAAATCATCGTACTGACAGAAAAATTCAGCAGTATTAGATATTATTATATCCTCCGCTTGAAAAGCGGGAGGGTATATAGTGATCGGGATGTCCGTCCGTCCGTCTTTACGCTTTGGGGTATCCATCTCTTATCCGCAACTCCTCTTATATATAAAAAGATGTGTTTGTGAAACAGCTATGCCCCTGTATGGCAACATAGCGAAGATTAAAATTTTCTAAAATGCAATTTAAATATATTGGTACCCAAAGTAGGGTCTTCTCACAAGAAATACAATTGCAAAATAAGAAAGCCCTAGCACCACTTGTTCAAAAGTAATGGCTATGGATAAGTTTTTGAAAGGTAGGTAAAACTCAAAGGTCAAAGGGTCAAAGTTGATGGTTTCTTAAGAAAGGTTTAATATAACAAGGATTACATATGTGAAGTATGAAAACCCTAGCCCTTACCGTTCAAAAGTTATGGCCAAGGTGAAAGTTTTTTTTTTCATAAGTACGGAAATCTCCAAGGTTAAGGTCAAAAGGTCAAAGTTTATAGTATCCAATGAAAGGTCATGCCAAAAAAAATACATATGTGAAGTATGGGAGTACTAATATCTACCGTTAAAGTTATGGCCAAAGTAAAAATTTGGCATTTTTGTGTAAAATGGGACAAACTCCAAGGTAAAGGTCAAAAGGTCAAATTTGAAGGTACCCAAAGTAAGGTCTTGTCACAAGGAATACACATATTAAATATGAAAGTCATAGCTACAATAAATGAAAAGTAATGGTCAAGGTTTAAGTTTTGCGGACAAAGAGACAGACAGACATACAGACGGACACGATAAAACTATATACCCCCGAATCTTCGATTACTGGGACATAAAAAGAAATGGTCTTCAATTAACTTTTCATATTATGATACAGTATAAAGAAGATTTTAAAAAAAATGAAAAGGTTATGTCTACATATATAGTTTTTGCATTAGAATGTGTATTTTACACTAGCCCATAACTTTACAGAGCATATTTTTAGGTCTTATACCCACCCCACCCCCTAACATATTTAGGAGGAAGTCGATTATCAAAAAAAAGCAACAAAAAAACCTACCCTACTTTTTGTCCCCCGCTTGAAAAGTGGGGGATATGATTTGGGTTTGTCCGTCCGTCCGTCCGTCCGTCCGTCTTTCTGTCTGTCTGTAACGCTTTCGTTTCCACACGATATCTCGAGAACCCTTTGAGCTTTTGCAATGAAATTTAGCATAGCAACTCCCTATGGACTAAAGAAGACCCCTATTGATTTTGAGGTCAAAAGGTCAAAGGTCAAGGTCATAAATAAGCAAATTCTGTCTGTTAAAACACTTTCGTTTCCACACGATATCTCTAGAACCATTTGAGCTATTGCAATGAAATTTTACATAACAACTCCCTGTGGCCTAATGAAGACCCCTATTGATTTTGAGGTCAAAAGGTCAAAGTTCAAGGTCGTAAATTTATACATTCTGTCTGTGTGTAACACTATCATTTCCGGGCGATATTTAAAGAAGATTTTGAGCTTATGCAATGTAATTTTATACCAAAACTCCCTAGGACGTCTCTCGCCCCTCTCAAGGTGCCCCGCCCCGTTTGATTTATTAGTATTTATAGTATTACATGTCGCAATTTTTAGCGCAGGGGCATGAGGAGAGTTATTACGTATAAAACAGGTTCTTGGCGGACTTTATGTTCTTATTACATCTATTAGAACTGTTTAATAAAGGCTAAATAAATCAAACACCATGGATTGTGTAAAATTTTGAGAATATCGAACATGAAAACATGAATATATACATGTATGTGACTTCAGTTCTGCATATACTTTACCCCCTGTAAAGCGATTACGTGGTCTAGTGGTTATGTCTCTTGCTTCAAATGTGAGAGGTCTCGGGATCGAATCTCGGTCGATCCTTTCTTTCTTTTTTAAATACTTTTTTTTTTTTTTTACTAAATGATAGTATTCAGCATGTGAAATGAAAAATTTATGAGGTTATAAAATCATCATTACAGTGTGATAAATATTCCATATA